TCTTTCCATCTCTGACACATTTTGGGCATTCCCAGCTGTTGGGGAGATCTTCGTTTATTACTCCTCTATGATCAGGGCATTGCTTGTCAACACATTCAGGATGAATAATTTCATAGCAAACACTACATTCCATAAGTGAACTGGGAGCATCTTTAGCCATTTTGTGAACAGGAAGAACTAGTTGCTGACCCCATCCATCAAGTCCACAAACAGCACAAGCAGCTGTAACAGGTAGCATAGGTTGCAGACATTGACGCATAATGCAAGTTTGTTTAGCACGTCCTGGACCACCAAACTTAACCATATCCTGACAAAAAGCACATTCTCCACAATCACTTTGGTGGCAGGCAGCACAGTTTTTACATCTGGTTCTCCTCCTTCTTGGCCCAGCTTTAGCTTTAACTTTCGCACCAAGTGATGGCATCTTCCCCATTCGATTTTTAAATTTACTAGAACCAAGACTACCCATTCCTTTAAAAACAGGAACTCGCCTTTCACTATATTTCATGCTGGGATTACAAAGAACAGGGAGCCCTGTGACAGAATATTCCGGGATATCATGTCTATGCTGTTCAACGAGAGTTCTGACATCTTTAATTAGTGCGACTGGATCAACAATTAATTCAGGTATGTTTTTTTTATTAGTTGGTAAAGAATGTAAGTAGGTAACAATTGCTTTAATACCATGAAGTTCAAGTGCAGTCAAGTGAAGGTGTTTAGGAGGTGGATCCACATCAGAGGTATCACGAAGATGTGAATGACCAAGCAATACATGGACATATCGTACTAAAACATACCACAACATTTCAGTGAAAAACGGGTACCTGAATTTTTGCGGTACATGTGTAGTTTCTTCGACATGTGCAATCCTAATTTGTTTATCTATGCCATAAGAATGCAAGAAATTTCCACCAAAAACTAGAGAATCCTTGGGGGTATATACTGCATGAATCCAACCTGTAGGTATAAAGAAGGTATTACCTTCTACTAGAGTAATCCTGCTACATTTTTCAACAGAGTCACCAAAAAAAATGTCACCCTGCTTTCCAGACAATACCCACTGTTCATATAGTTTGATATTATGTTCGGTGGGTGGTATTAACCAAAACACTTTTGAGCCACGCAGAATATGATACCATACAGAAGAACCTCCAAAATCTATGTGAAAATCTGTATAACAACCTTTAACAGACATTAAGCAATATTTTTGAACTTTAGGGTAAAACATATCATCAATTGCATTGGTCGACTCAGTTTGTGCTTCTTTCAAGTGCCTGGGCCAAACACAATCAACCCAATCGATTTGCCTCACGATGGAAGGTGTTTGAATATAGTTCTCTAGCTTAGTATGACTAAATTCTAGAGAAATAACATTTAATAACTTTTCTTTATTTGGATCTTCATAGTACCTCTGCCATTCTTTCATACTCATTTCAAAATTCTTCTGTGTGTTTACATCCATAACATCCAATTGTCTTCTTGAACCCACACAAAACCTTACATCGTTCACACTAAAATTTGGACTCGGAACATGCAAACCAAGTCCTGTTTTATCTTTAAATAATAAGGGGGTACTAAAACCATGTCTTTGCAAATATGTTATTGTGAAATCTGAGCCATTCATCTCTCTGACATAAGATTGACTAAAATTATCACATTCGAGCTTTTCTTGGAGATTAAAAGACCGCTTACCCTCAAGTTCATCATCGTTTATGGCCCAGTCGTCAGTATAAAGCTTTCTTTCTTTACGATCACGTAATTGCCTTTTGAGAGGCGCAGCAGAATTAGTTTTAGCCATTGAACGTAATTTCTTCAAACCTTTTAAATTTCAATAACACTACTTAACTTCAAGGATATTAACTGTCAACAATTGTTGGATCACGAAGTAAACAAAGATGTCTTAATTCTTAATGATTCTCCGGCACATGATGTCTTACGAAAAATACTTGAAAATCCCTATTACACCAATATTTGTAAGAAATGAACTGTATGTTACCGTACTGTTTTTCAAAAACACGCAAGAAACGAAAATGTTTCACGATTAACAACATCGGCAGCCATTTTCAACTTGGCGACTGTCACGGGGGTGCTAAGAATGTAATCATGTGATACAGCTGCTAGTAGCACTGGTTCAATTATTATCAGTATTAAATAAAGGGTTGAAAAATATGTATATATTTACAGCAAAAAAAATATAACGTGCTGGAAAAACGAACGGTGAAACTGCTTTCCTCGCTTCTATCAGTAATGAACTGGACAATAAATGTATACCCGCCTTAACTACGCGTTAATTAATGTTTCAATGAAAAGGAGGTTGGTTCTTTGAAAAAAAATTTAATAATTTCTACTTTTCAAAATTCATCAAAAACTATATATTGACATTTTGATCAAAATATCAATGTAATATTATTAAATTTATAAAGATAAAATTATAATGGAGACAGGAGTTCTTTCGATTATCACTGAACATCGTTTTTATAATTTAAATTACTTTTTATAAAACAAGTAAAAGAGACGTCTTTTAGAGAGAAAACACTTGCTATATTTCATATGTTGTTATATCCATAATTTATTTAAGGTGAAGATATAATTAAGGTTACCTTTTTTATTTTTTAATTACGTATTATTGAAATACTATCCATGTTAGAAGTTGAAGTCTAAAAAAAAGATAGTTTGGTTTATATATTAAATGATATTAGATCGTTATTTTATTTTAGTTCTGTAAAATTATGTCTCACAGATAAAAGGATGAAGTTCATTACTTAACTTGGTCTACCTTTTACTTGGTAATTTCTGATTTAGTACCTATGAATCAATCAAAGAAAATTATTTTTGTGACATTTATTTTAAAGTAGTCACCATTCTTAAAGAGATTTGTATCTCAAAATGAAATAAACTACTGTACAGTTTATAATGTAAAATATCTAGTTGTTTTTTTTTAATATGCCCAATATACAATAGTTTTAAGAACGTGATTTTTTAGTTTCGTGCTTTTAATTTCTTTTTCTGTGACTGTGTTACATTTTTAAGCTTCTAAGTGGAATTACCAATACTTGATGTATTATTTAAACATTTTTTTTTAATTAACAAGGAGGTGATGGGGCTCACCTATTAAAATATTTAACTTTTTTCTATTAATATTTTATATTGTTTGTTTTAAAATAACTGTGTGAGTAGGTAATAGGGAACAAAATGGTTAAAAAACAACTATTTCTCTTTTCAGTATAATGAAACCAGAATCAAAAGCTTGAATTAACTTTCTATTTACTTATAAAGATGCTTAATTATTAAAAAAAAATTTGTGAAAACGCCCGATTTAAAAAATTAATAAATGAAATATGAATTGAATTAATTAATATAAATGAAAATTAACTTTTTTGTGTGCGTGTGTTAAAGCATTATTACACTTGAAAAATGTAATATTTAATATTTTTGAGTTTTTAATGGGAACTCCAAAAATCTACCATATTGATTTGGGAAAATAAAGAAAACTATAACATTCACAAACCTTCAATTTTTAAATTAATACCAGACACACAAGGCTAAAATAAATCTAATGATTTATTTTTGCACAAAATTGTACACTTGGTGAATAAATTTATTAAAAAAATAATTGGGTGAAGTGGATTGTAAGATTCTTATAAACTTTCTAAGCTATTCTTGGTATGCATACTTTTCACTAATAAATTGCATATTTGAACTATAAAAATCACATTTATATATGTATATATTATTCTGTTGGTGAGTTTAAATAAATTGTTAATAATATTAATTCTATTTTATAGAATTATCCAGCTACTATTATTTAGAAAAAAAAATTTTAGGTTCCACATTCATTTTAATTCAGGTATTTAAAAAAGAGAGGTTTGAATAAGATATTGAAAATATATATACATATAGAATTATGAACTGTTATTTAATTAAAACTTTGTCAGATATGGATTTGATGAATCCTCTAAACTAAGAATCAAGTAAATAAAGATGGCATGAAGTCAGTGATTTGAAAAATCCTTAAATAACAAACAAATTCAAACTTGAGCTCAGAGGGTCTCATGCTTTCGAATAATCGAGACAGGGCTAAAATACACAATTAAAGAAGTAACAGGTATACAGGAGAACTGAAAATCCAGTCTTACCAAAACTAATGAAGCTACTCTTGAGAAATAAACAGCCACCAGAAAAAAAAACAAAGGAAGATAGCAAACCACGGGGGGCAACCAGTGGACTGGTGATATACTTAAATTGTTTGTCCATACATAGGGTAACTGGAGTTACTTAAATCATGCCATAATAGAAGGAACAAGGCAAATTACCTCAGGACCTGTCACTAGTGCTGCTTTGAGACATTGGGATTTATGAATAAATTTTCACAATACAAGGCCTGCGTATAATTTAATAGTTTTTGCTATAGGTACAAGTAGCCCTAATTTACATATATTCACTTAATTCATAGATATTTTAAACTTATATAAAACATCAGTTTTAACTGCAACATACTGACAGATTCACATAGCGAAAGCCTGTCATTAAAGTGAAAAAACAAAAACCATTAAGACAAAATAAGATGTGTATTTTTTATTTTATGTTTAATTTTAACTTTATGCTTTAAACTTTAAATAAGATGTATACTTTAAATAGCGGTTGATCAGAAAAACATAAAACCACACATTCTAATAAAAGTTTACTTAAAGATGAATGTTTTATTAAATTAATATAAATTATAATTAATAGATATTTCTAAATGACTACCATAAAAGTTATTTCTTGGTCTTTGGTTTTCAACACCACTGCAGCTGAAATAATAATTAGTTTTTGAAGAGGTTTAAAAGGAAAAGAAAGTTGTACAAATGTAGTAAAATTTTAATAATTAACAAATTGATTTAACAACATAACTCATTTGAAATAAAAAATTGATTAATTATAACAAAAATTAAAGAAGCTGAAAATTAACATGATTAAAATGAACAAATGCAGGGTAAAGTAAAATGTTGTTGCAACATTTATGCAAAGTCTTCCATAGGTTCCGGCTCAGTGTAACGAGCAGCTATACTCTTTAATGAGGGGGGAAGGTTCTCAAGAGTAGTATCATAAATCTGCAATATAAAATAAATTGAATAATGTTGTTTTTTTTCATTCCATACAGAAAAATATTCATTATTATTATAATCAAACAAAAAATATAACTTAATTTTTAAAAAAAAAATACCGAAATAATCCTGTCTATCCTAAAGATCATGTACTTGCATTTATGCTTAAATACCTTGGGATATTTTAAGGGAAATTGACATCTTTAAACTAGGTTCAGTAGTCATGTATCTCCCACCTCCAAACGAACCTCAAGACCCTGACCCTATCCGATGATGACATGAACTGTTTAAACATCAGAAGATGTCAATTTATCTAACAAACTATGAAGGTGTTGAAGTAGATCTAATCAATCCATATGGGCATAACTCTTACATTGCATTATTCTATTATTATTATTATTATATATATATATATATATATATAATATATATAATATATATATATATATATATATATATATATAGTGTGTGTGTGTTTTTTTTTTCTTCCTTCCTTTCCATAACACACTACATTAAGGGATTAGAATCACATAACATATATATTTTCTAAAAAAAAAAAATTGAATGCTAGGAATTCAAGACTAAATTGCACACTTATATACCAACGTAATTCCATGAATAAAAAAATAAGTGGATAAATGATATAAGACATCTTCAATTCACAGTCAATTACAAGATAATTTATTAAAAGATAGTGAATGATCACCAGAGTCCAGAATAATATTCTCTGCCAATATCGCAAGCTCCCCAACATCAATACCTAGTGTCTTGAGGAAGCTCCTCAGTCTTTTCGGAATAGTTCTGTAAGACCCATACCAGAGGCCTCTCACAGTGAAATCTCTCACTCCGAAGGTTTCACAGAATTTCTATTTTAGGAAAGGGATATATTTATCATATATGTTCTTCTTTTCTCTTTCCACTTCACCCACCTGATCGAGGTCATTGCTCGAAAATGGACAGTTGGATCCAAGATCAGAGCAATCCTTCCTGCCTTGGGAAGAGCGACAATATTCATATCTCGTAGAGCCTTTACTGTCAATGCAGTAGACCTTGTCGAATCAGGAGAATTCCTATCCTCTGAGGAGACTTATCAACTCAAACTTGACGCTATGGTGCCGGTGTGTTATTAAGAGGGAGTTATTCGGACATTTTCCCAGCACATAGGCTGGTGTTTCAGACTCTCTGCCGTATTTATGACAGAGGGACCCACCCAACTTCCTTCGACTGTCCACTGGTTCCTGGGACTCCACGCAAAGGTGCGTAATTGATATTGAGTTTTAAGGGGTTGGACTATTCTGATACTGAAAGCACTTGGTTCTGACATATGTACTTATTGGCTTTTGAGGTTTCTTTAAAATAACTTTATCTTGCCACCTACAGCTGGCGCAATCTTCAAAAGAATTTTTTCTTAGCGACTGTCGTAGAGCTCTTATATTTCGGTGGCCCTCATCCACTCCCAGTCTTTCTGTACATTGGGCCATTTGTGCATTTTAATCAAATCTGGACTGGAACAGGACATCTGATACATTAGAAAGCCAATGGAAATGGAACAATGCTGCAAAGGAGCCTCTGACAGAAGATCATTCTCAATCCACGATACCACATCGGTGCTTACAACATCTTCTTTCCAATATTATAGGACGTATCTTTGTAAGGGGAACTGTCTGGAGAGGGTAGGTAAGTCCTAGGAATACGTATTGGTAGACAACGTCGATCTTTTGCTCCGCTTTAAAAGGGCAAGACCAATTTGTCTAAGTTGTTCAATTTGGTCACCATTTCCTTACTTAGTACTAGTTCTCCCGAGAACGTACATCCTAAATACTAAATATCACCAGCCTTTGATGTGTACCGTTCTCTAAGAACTTTGTTTGTTGTAGCTCCCCTTTATCAATTATTAGGCCCACGCTCTTCAGTGGATCAACCTCACCTTAGACCAATCTCGGCAAGGATCCTCTGCACACCATTGATGATCCTCTCTACAGCCCCTTTGTCAAGTGCTGTAACAGCCAGATCATCCGCGAAGCCTGTGAGGTCCGCACATTCTTGGCCCCTGGTTAGTTTACATACACAATGGTTGGAAAATTCTTACTCACAGGTCGCAGCATAGATGGTCTATAGCCAGGTTCAACAACGAATGCGACAAGGGTCCGCCTTGGGGTTCTCCTCACCAAAACAAATATTAATTAGTATTTGTTTTGCTATCTTTGAAACCAAATCACAATGATGATTAAATTTTAAATCCAATGGATAAGAAAAAAGGTATGCCAAGTAAGGTCAGTATAGTTTCCTCACCGTTTTCATTTGCTAAAAAATATCAATATTAAAAGGTTTAAAAATTTTCTTATGAGAATAAAATCTCAGGAAGAAGCCGTTTTTGGAAATTCAGTAATTCCTCAACATATACGGGCTTGATATCCACAAGTTTTGTTAATCAACAAATACTAAAATGCGAAAAAGTTCCAGATTTGCAGATTGTATATTTGATAATTCGTAATTAAAAAAAAAAATCCATTGCATACTAAATATGTATCTCGCTACTGTTAGTGCAAATGATGTATGTAAAAATTGAGTGTTTTACAGGAGAGCAGACAAACTAATTATTTCTTTATGATTTATTAGTATAATTTTATATTTTGTTACCCTCTGCTATTTTTCATAGTAGTAGACTACTTGTACTTAATAGACATATACACACAGTTAATGGGTATGTTTTCATTCATAAAATGGATGGAACAAAAAATCCATAAGAAAAATTCAACTTTTTTTTTTTGTTCGGAGTTAACAAGACCAATACTTTCCATCAGTCAGAACAAAACTAATTAAGCTGGAATATAAAAATATGAGTGAAGTTGACACAATTTTGATATTTAAGGAGATAATCGAGACCACGACGGAGCTGGTTGAACTTGAAATAAACACAATCACAAAAAAGACTTTTTTTTTTTTACAAATTCAGAGTAAAAATTACTTTAAATTTACTGAAAATTAAACGGAATCTAAGAAACAGCAGTAAGTATCATGCCAATAATGTTTGGAATCGACCAAACAATACAGTATAAATTAATTTATGGAATAAAACCTAAAATTTTATAACCCCATAACCTAACTCCCACTCCATATGATCAGTGCCTTCCACATTTCACAGCCATTATATTTTTAAGAATTATTTATATTAATTTTAATTATTAAATGGAATTCAATGAAATTAAATAATTTCTATACTGTTCTACTAATTTCCTTCAAGTTTGGCTCAAATCGAAGGCGCCGTTTTCAAATTATAGGCATATCAAATAACACATTTCCTGATCTGAAAGCGGAAGTATTTTTTTTTGGAGTCTTAGATAGAATTTGATAAAATTGACACCTATTTCATTTTACGTTTACCAATCCCTAAATTCCCTCCAAATTTGAGCAAATCGAACTTGCGGTTTTAGAGATATAGACGTATCAAGGAAAACAAAAACACATTTACGCACATATAAGAGAAAGCAATGGACAGAATTCAATAAAATTTACCCTACATTATTTTTTCACAAATACCTACCTTTTATCCAACTTTGAGCCAAATCGAACAAGCCATTTTTGAAATATTGGCATATCTACAAAAATGCGTTTGCGTGTGCATAAGCGGAAGTGCTGGTTAGAATTTATTAAACTTGATATGGAACCATCTAGATACCAACCCGCACAATTCCTGAAAATTTTATGAAAATCGGATAAACAGTAGTAGGTGATATGCCCGTTACTTCGATTTGACTACATACAGACACCGAAAAAAATTTGATCCTTGATGTCTGAAATGTAAAATGCAATTAGAAACTTTCGATTCTGAGCACAAATTTTTTTTTAACCTCTCGCACGAATACAATGCTTTCCTACCTTCGGTAGTGAGGAGGCAAAATAGATTGATGATTATAAGTATGACCAGTTACCACGATGATGATGAACACCATATGACCAGTAAATTTATGGTAATATGAATGCAGACAACAGTACGACAATAAACTAATTAACAAAAGACAAATTGAAACAGCTTCACACTACATAATTTAAAAAAAAAATAGGGACAGAGAAATAATCTATTTACGGTAACAATGTCATAACTTGAAAATCTTGATTTCTGAACTAATAACAAAGTATTACTAATATTGTGTACTAGTAACTGGTAGAGCAGCGTGTCATTTCCAAGCCTTTAAGGCACACCTTAAAATATTTTTACTTTGTATTATAAATTTACTGAAATTTTCTTAATCTAATGAAGTCAACTATTTTCATACAACACAGCAAATGAATATGAGGTAAGCCTACAAAGTATGATATTAACTTATGTAAAATAATAGCGATGTTGTAATAATATCTATATTGATAGATATCAATATTTTCCTTTTGATAAAGCTCAATATCTTATTAAAATAAGTAATTTGATATTATCGTAATATTGAAAGAAAAACGGCAATATCAGATTTCAATATATTTTTTTGTTTTATTTATTCAACTAGCTGATGACCCCATCATTGACGGATGTATAGTTAAAATTTTAGAATCTTTTTTTGAGATGGATTTTGTATTATGGGGAGAGGAGAATCCAAATTCAATTTCATTAAATTAGGTCGGGAGCGGGGAGAGGGGTTGTTTTAAAATTTTTTATGGCGGGGCTTATGTAAGTCAAGGTTTCGCAAAAACTTTGTTATTCGGCTATTTGCTTAGGCACCACACAACTAAACCGACCACTACTGATCCATTAAAATTTGTTAAGTGTTCAATTTTCATTTATGATGAAGCGAGGTGATTGTGGAATCGATTAATTAATCAAAAAGTTGTAGTCTCTCCACTTCTTTAAACTCTACTGAGTTTATCGCCAGCAAAATAACCAAAATAACATTGGACATTGAGTCACCTACATCTGTGTAAAATTATAACTTAATCTGAATATTGTGGCGGGCAGGGTGAAATTTTTGGAGTTTTTTTTCCTGATTTCCGGCTAAGCCGTTAGCTTAATCCCAAAAATGTATATGACATTTATTAGGCTCAGGAAGTTGAATTGAATGACACCTTGAACGGAAAGATTGGAAAAAAATTGAAAAATAAGTGTTTTATCCGTTTTATGTGACAACCCGTTACAGATGTTCAATATTCCGGATTTTTTCCCGTTGAGTTGTGATAATTTTTTCCATTAGTTGAGTAGTACAACTTTTAAATGTGGCTCGCGATAGAGTAGGTTGGGATTAGAATTGAAGTAACTGCCAAACCGGGATCTCTAAACAAATTACTCAAGAATTCATAACTTTGGTTCTACTCAATATTTTATTTTCATTTAAAGCCTATATTTTAAGTCAGGCAAACCTAAAGGCAATGTCAAAATTTCAAAAGTCTATCATTAGCCACTGCCGAGCTAACCCCTGACCAAATTTCGTTCTACAATGCGGACATCCAGATAGACAGCACATTTTTAAAAGTGGATTTGGTGTCTGTAATGTATAAAATAGAAAGATATCATGAAATGGGTTGCTTCTAAGGGGGAGGACGCTGCGGTTGAAAACTTGGATTTTGCGTCTATCATATCCCATAGAAGAAAAATAAAAGAAACCTTCTACCCCATTCGATGCAAGTTAGACCCCCATTTTCATAACAAGGTTATTGGGCTAAATCAGGACTTAGTTGAGTTAAGGGTGTACCAACCTAAAGGTGTCCAAAATAATTGTAATGATTAAAAGTACTATAGGATTATACTATACCTTAGCTAAAACTTCTAAAATAGAGTTCATACTAATTTCATGCTTCGCTCTTATTCCCCAAACATAAAAAGGTTGAGTTTTTTCTTGTCCTTTAGCAGAGGAAACATAATCTTTCACAATGTACATTTGACGCTCAAATTCCTGAAACAAAAGATAGAAATAATTAACTGAATCAAAAAATATATGATAAACCTATTTAACAAGATCAATTACTAAATAATATATCACTTGTTTATTCTAAAAAGACATTACTAATTAAACTCCTGATGGGGTTAAACATTTAAGTACATATTAGTCAATTTTTATCCTATTTATTCATCATTACTTAGTGATTTAATTTTTCTAAAATGTTATTCAGGACGTTTTGTAATAAACCTTTAATAATGGGGCATATAAAAAAAATATGATTGTTTTTCAACCAAGTATTTGTATTATTATTTCTTTGATATAAAATACAATTAATACTCAAAGTATAATCCATACCCTCATTAGCCAATTGCTCAATCCCATTCTTTGGGATGGCTGTCAAAGAACTACTGGACTTCAATTTCAACTTCCACAAAATTATCAAATTTTTTCCCTTCAAGAAAATGGGCTATGAATCTAAATAAGTAGTAATCCGATGGTGCGAAGTCAACACTATATGGTGGATGAGGCAGGAGTTCGAACCCATGAAGCTCTATAAACTATTCTTTGGTTCGGCAGGAAGTGTGAGGACGTTTTTAGTTGATCAAAAGAGAATAATGCTCTAACAACTTCGCGTACAATCTTTCCATTTGTTCGCAGTAGAGTTCCGAATTCATAGAGCATCCATCAGGAACAAATTTGTGGTGAATAACACATTCAAAATTCAAAAAAACGCAAAGCATAGATTTTTTCTTTTTATCAAATTGTCCCCTTGCAGTAACAGGAATAGCAATTTAACCATGAACTAGCCATTGTTCACAGGTATTCGGATTTCGCTAGTAAACCCACTTTTCATCACAAGTGACAATCTTCCAGTAAATCTCATATCAGAAGGGTTTTCCAATAAATTTTCACAAATTTCTAACCTCTTAGCTGATTGCTGAGGATTAAGTTTGTGAGGGACCAGTCTACTGCTCTTTTTGGAGGGTAGATGGCGACTTTCTGGCAAGTTCGCGAGTACTTGTGGACGGATTTGACTCAACTGCTTTCTGCAGAACCTCATCAATATACATTAATGGTCGCTTGTAGCCCTTCTTCCTTTCTAATGTTTTATCTCCATTGCTAAATTTTTCAAACCAATGCCGCACAGTACCCTGGTAAAGAACACCTACCTTCCCCTTCATATTTAATAATTTCACAAGTTGCTTCAGCGGTTGCTTTTTTCCAGTAATGCCTTAAAATTACGAAAATTTCGTAGGTCACTGTCTAATGTTTCTTCTTTAAAAGAAGGGGCTAATTTTTTTTTTTGAGGGGAGGGAGACTAAACTGAGGCATTTTTGAAGAAGTCAAATGGGACTAAACAAGCTTAGAGAATGCTCTAAACAGATCATTAAGTATTGGTAAGTAATAAATAGGATTAAAATATTTAGTCCTTTTTTTTTTTTTCTGACACCGCGGCCTTAAAAAGGGCAATTGTGCATTGTCCTATACTCAATTAAAACAGGGCAGATGCCTTTGCGAACCTGTTAATACTAATAGGATCAATCAGATCGCAGTGCTTAGGGTCAGTGATACGATCACATCCAAAGTGAATGTATCGCAGTCTAGCCGAATTATCACATCTACAAATAATGTGATAGGCCGTTTCATCCTTCAGGCCACATAGCCTGCAGGTGGAGGTCTCACTTACACCCAAAACGAAAAGGTGATTATTTAATTGACAGTTCTGTCAACCACTTAATGGTACTCCTGTCCATTAGAAGAAGTGAATTACTTCTCTTATGAAAGAAAGGGTTCTACTAGGAATGAGTTTGTTTCCTTGTCTGTTCCGAGTGTAGCATAAATTTATAGCACAGGATTGCGTTAATATGCCTTTTGGCAAAGCCAAAGCTTATCCCACAAATAGGCCCTGCTGCAACGGGCACTAGTGCAGAGCCTTTCCTAGCAAGGTAATCGGCTTACTCATTTCCTGGAATGCTTGAGTGACCAGGGACCCATTCTACCCTCACCTTGTTAGTACTACAAAGAAGGTTAAGATTGCTTTTACATTCATCCACCAACTTCGAGCGACTTGCATAACTATTCAGAGACCCAATTTCTGCTTGACTATCCATATATTGTTATCAACCTATTCACAATGCCCTCCTTAATAAGGGATTTGGCACAGAAATTGATAGTTAAAATCTCGGCTTGAAAGACGGACCTATATATGAATATTCCCTCATTAGGTTTATCCTTTCTCCAGATGCCAGCCCCTGATCCCTGCTCCATTAAGGAGCCGACTTGACATATGAAATATTGAATATGATAAAACGTCATTTTTTTTATAAGCTCTATTATATAACATAGTAAAGTCACCAATTATTGTCACTTTAACGAAATGTTTTAAGTAATTTACCAATAACTTTTTATATTAATTAACCTATATATCTGTATGTTTCTAACTTTTTCATACTAGTCCAAGTCTGTTCAACATATCCCGCTTGTATAATGGCCAAAATACTATTAAGTTTTCGATTTTTTGAGCGCTAACCAGATGAAAAGTTTTCAACAATAAGGAAATAGAACTCTTCGGTTTTTCTTATTCTTAAACACTAGAGGCTTTGGTAACTATGCTTTGCTCTTTGACATAAGTCACCTTTACTTATGGTCCGACCTGTGTCAATTTCTGCTGAAATTTCGACTTCTTCCATGTTCTTCTATTTATGTCCTTTTCATGTTCTCGTTTCTTGTTCTTCTGTTCATATTCATATAATACACTAGGTGTCAATAATTGGGAAAAGTTATCATTTTGAAGATTCAATTATTGACACTCCTAATACCTGTTGTTTTAATCGTAATTTACGTTTGAAAATGATATCACATCATCAGGAAGGAGGTAACAAAATGTGTCAAAAGAATTGAAGCTCATAAACATTACAGGACGAGATAAAATGTTACCTCATCCTCTTAGCAAAAGATCCCGGCGACTGACATGAAATGATAGGGAAAAAAATACGTTTGCCACCTAATTTATCACCCAATAGAGACTTCATCTTGACGATAATCAGTGGATAATTAATTTACTTTTGAAATTGGTGCCAATTTTGAAATCTTAGATGAACCTAAATACTTATTTTATGAAATTTAAGTTACAAGTATCAATAATAGGTATCTTTATTACCCTATTTAACTGCAAAAAAAAAAAAAGATGAAAACATCAAAAATAAATATAATTTAATTAGCAATTAAGTCTCTAATCTGCTGTTGTACTAATCACTTTAATTTATAATAGTTGTAGGGCTAGAAACATGGTAGCGATAAAAACTACTACAATCAGATATAAAAAGTGTCTTTCTTCTATAGAAATTATTCTGAACTTTCAATTTGGTTCCTAGCTCAATCATTTCACATCACACTAACAGTCAAGACTCAGAATTTGTGGTGAACCGATTTGAAATGAGAAAACATACATTAGTTGCATTCATTTTTTTTTTTTCAATAAGCATTCAAAAAGATCTTTTGTGTAAAATCAAGCAAATAAATACTTCAAAATACCTACACGATATTCTGTATTCCTTTCTCATTGACAATCTATCAAAATAATATCAGTTCAACCAAAAGATCAATTCATGCTCTTGCATTCATCCTCTTTAACTTTTATACGCATAACATCACACACTCCTTCCCTCTATAGCTATGTTTGCTGACAAGATGACAGTCTTTTCTCAGCACGAAGATATAATAACGGCTAGAAATATCATTCCAACTTATCTCAGCGATTCAGAGCAGTACATCAATAAATAGAAAATCAGCCTCAATGTTAAGAAATTCAATGCCAAAATATTTACCTTTACATGGCCAAGAGACTCACACAATCAAGTCCTCAACAGTAACAATTTACTTAGGAATCCTCTTCTCCCATCTCCCCCCCCCCTCCAACAAAGCAGTAAAATACCTCGGTGTTCATCTAAATTATAATCTAACTTGGAATCACCACTTCAACACTAAACTAACTCAAATCTACACTAGGCTGGCAATGTTATACCCTGTCATCAACAGGGAAACTAGCCTAAAATCAAAAACAACCATCCTTATTTACAATACAATACTTCAGCCTTTAACGATGTATGGTTGTGAAATGTGTGGTGCAGCATCCTGTATGAAAAGAAAAAATAAACCATCCAAAATAAGATCGTGGGAATTGCAGAAGACGATTCTTGGTTTGAAAGAAGTAGTCAACTCCATCTTCGCAAACTTCAAATAGAAACAATAGAGGAATTAATTAAAAAACGCTTTTCCAGTTATCAGTTAAAAGTGCAGTAGCTTTCAACATAGGAACTCTGATATCATCCCACAGACTGAAATACAGACTTATACAAAAATTCTAATGTGAACTCTATTATATATATAATTTTTATTTCCATCATATGCATATTATATTGTTTTATTATATTTTTATTTTATTTGTTTGAGCTTTATTTATTGTATTATTATTTATTTATTCTGAAAAATTAACTAGTCCATAGTTATAGAGATCACGTATCTTTGGAGGTGTGGTTTGTGGGAGACTATAATCCCTCTCTCCCAAATGTTAAAAATTTACTTATTGCTAATATACTCATGTATGGCTCACTAAGACGAGCTGGGAATAAAGAATAAAACTAAAAAGTCCCTGATCGAATAAAAACAGTCAAACCCTACTTGTATTTGCTTGTTGACATCTCCAAAATAAGGATGATTATCTTGTAGATCAACTTTAACTTTTTGAAGGCATTCTCTCAGTTTATCTATAAAAAAAAAATTAAAAAAATAGTGAAAAAACTTGAGCAGTATAGCTCCATCATTATGGTCATATTTCCCCCTAATTTTTGTTTGGAAAACAAATTAAATTGATTTCACTGCTTTAATGCTGACCTGAGAAAATTAATAAAATTTTAAAATAATTAAACTTCAAATTCCTTCTCATTTATTATTTTAGGACATTTTATAATTTGTTAATTTTAAAATTTATGGAATGGCAAGGGCACACTTACTCCCTTTGAAGATCTTTGACACACAGTGGAAAAGTCGGGGGAAAATATGACAAAAATATTAAAATAAAATACATGAGTTATACAAACAGATTAATCAAACAGCATTAATTTTTTGAAAATATTTTAAAACAAAACAGTAAATTAATTTCAAATGAAATAAAACATACATAGAAAAAATTTAAAAATAGAATTTATTAATGAATAGAAAAAAGTAGGAATAGAACTTAAAAGATGAAATCTATAGGTTTTATTAATAGCATTCGCTCAATTGCTGTAGTAATTATCACAAGACTATAAAAACAGGAATCAATTCAGTGTCACCCCTATATTTACGGTATATTCATATCCCTTTAGGAACTGCATAATTCCACAACATTTTGTAGAATGTTAAATTATCCCTTAACTTCTGGGTGGCATTTTGAAGGAAGGAGTGAGTATTACATTAATTGATCCAGTAGCTCTTTAAAGATTTTGTTGGCAAAAAAGACTTGACAAAACAATCAAATGTTTATTTTCTATCGAATCCACTCTTTGAGGGTTTATGGTAGGAAAAAGAAATTCTACAGTTCAACACTACAGAAATGCAGTTCCTAAAGGGAGGGTTTCCTGATCTCAGTGTTGATCCATGGCTGATGTGACAGATTAAATAGTTGTCATATGAGAACCAGGGACCTTTAGCATAGGATGTCAGTGCCTTTCCCACTGTACCCAATGGCTTAATTTCTGTTTCTCAAAAAATTGCAACTGCTTAAATTGAAGAAACTTTGAATGAATTAAGAATTTCTAAGATGAAATCTTCATAAATAATCTTTTTCATATGCTTTAGTATCACGTGTATTGTGTATGACAGGAAAAATGAAATATATTTGGCCATAGCAATAATGTAACATTCATTGTTTTCTAACAGATTTCATATTCTAGGAACACAAAATTTATATATGGTTCTATATCATCATTTGCCTTTTCGCACTGATGAGTTATGATAGTTTTCAATATATTTTGATTTATATTATAAAAGCTTATAATATTTACATGTCACTCAAGGGTTTAACTATGTAATAGATGCTCCAGATTGACGGGTAGGCACAAAATCAATGATCACACGATAAATGGAATTCCGAGCATTGAAAAAGTGCTCATGGATATAAGCTCTCTTTTTGAAGATCTTGTTTAATTAAGACTTTCCCTAAACTTCCATATGGTCCTTTTCAGTAAATATTGGAGCCTTAATTACGGTGATTTATTTTTCTCGCACATAAGGGATAAACAAATCCTCTAAAAGCCCTTCACAGAGGAGATCAGGACTTTAGAAGACTATTCAATCACTTTCATCAGTTTTCCAATGCACCTGGCCATTCTTGGGATACCATTCATAGATTCTTAGAACATCAGGTTTTAACCCCCCTATCACAGTGGAGCAGCCTTGCATAGTAATACCAACTTAAGACTAATGACAATCATAAAAAAAAATAAAAAAAATCCATATGTCTGTATACCTTCATGTACTTGCATGTTATTGACAAATATTATTGTCAAAAGTAATCCAAGAAGGTCTCGTTTTGGTGATTTTTGCTCATGTATATATTTCTCCAACTTCTTATTCATGGGATTGACCAAAATATACTTCTGATGTTCAACCTCAAGCAGAGTGACCCCATAAATCTGAGAGAAAAATAAATTAGGTCTTACAATAGGAAAATATGAATCTAGATATTAAAAAGTAATGAATAGCTAACATCAGACAACTTTTTTTTAACTTCTTCCATGACTTGATTAGCCACCCTCCCTTTAGCCTTGGTATTATGAAGAATATCACTGCGCTTAAAAGGTCGCATAGTATTATTATGAGCTAAAATTTGTATCACAGCATTATTTATAATTTCGTTTAATGTTTCCTGTGATAAAACAGTTTGGGATTGAGAATAATCTTGAGGTTCATAGTCACTTTCACCATCACTAGCTGTCCTTTGGGAAGAAGTAGCTTTGAAGGGAACCTTTTTGTTGCGCTGTGATGGACCTGGTTGTGAATAATCCTCATCCTCAAGATTTCTTTTTCTTCTTACAGACATTGCTGAACAAAAATAAATATAAAAAATTAGAATAAGTATTACATCTAATTTGGAAACACAAGATAAATGATACACAATACAATGAGAAACTTACTAGTAAAAAAGTAAGCTCTTAGATGAATGTCATTATTGATAGGAAATCAGAATATAAACTTGTACAGCATAAACGTTGAATAATCATTTAGATACAACTTAGTATGTAAACAAAATAATAATCTAGGTGACCTATATGCAAATAATACTGCTATTGACAATCATAACTGACAATAATATGAACATTAACCCGACCTCAAACCGGGCATCTGAATGTTGAATGCATTGCATAGAGTGCAGTACCACCTGAACAAAGAGGTAATAAATGTCATTTTTTACATTAGAGTCCTTCAATAGTTAAATGTTGTAATTATTGTAAACCAAATATGCAGATAGTCATACATCATTATGAAAATATTATGTTCAATAAAAATGTTACCCCATTTGTCCGACATTCCACAATCAATGCTGAAAATAATGTTGTGTATTCTAAAAAGCTTGATAATTGATGTAGAAAACGTTTATTCCTCCATAACCTGGATCGTTTTCAAAATAAGTGAATAATGACAGTTTATAAATAATTTTGACCAAATTCCATGACGTCTCTTAAAATAGGGTAAGTTTCTAAATCTGCACGGAGGGAAATGAATCTTGACAGTCCCACTATAGTAAAAACGCGGCGGCAACCTCAAGGTAGCCGTCAGAGATTGGCATAAAAGATCATGAGGTTTTGGAGGAGTAGTTCCACCCTCCCCATTACCAGTACCAGTACCATCAAGCTCAACAAAACACGCCATCATTTCCTTATCTTATTTAGTACTTTTTCGAGCGTCAGTCTCATGAAAAAAAAAAGATTCTCTGTGCTCAGATATTTAAGAAAACCGCTTTGTTCCCTAAAATATACTAAAATATTTTAATTACTTTCAGTGAATATATTAATGTAGATATAGTTTCTACTATGAGGATGGTTCAGTTTTTTCTGGTTATTTTTTCTTTTATTGATTTTTTGTCACTATTATCTTGAATTTAATCGAATTTATCTATTAGGATCGATGTTTAATTTACTTAATATTTCGTCATTGTTTGTGAAATGAATGATTTCTCACTTTTTTAAAATTATATTAAAAAATATTGGCTTAATCACAAATATTAAGAGAATGTATAACTTAGTAAATGAAATTTTCAATAAGTTCGTTTACCAACATAGACAATTCATTAAGCTGTTCTCATGATTAATTTTAATGTAAATCGTAAGGATCTCAAGATATATTGAATGTTATCAAAATCAGAAACTGAACTAGATGTAAAATTAAGAAAACTAAATGTTCTCTTTGTCGACTCGCAAGCAGCAATCCTCGCCATTACTGACGTGAATAAATGTATGTCGAGTGCTATCTTGGAGTGCAAATCCCTTCTCTACGATCTAACACTCCGAGGCACCAATGTGGTCCTTCAGTGGATTCCGAGCCATTGCGGTATTCCAGGAAATGAGGAAGCGGATAGTCTCGCCAGGGGAGCAGAATTGCCACAAACAGTCCATCCAAAATCCTACGATTCAATTCGGCGAATGGTGAGGATGGTAGTGAAGGAGGAAACAAAAAATATGCACAAAGACAAGGTGGAAGGGAAATGTTATGGATGTTTGATGGAAAACCCGATCCCAGCAGACCTACCAAGAAGAGATGCAGTGGCCTGCTTCTGCCTGGCCACTAGTCACGACTATCTACAAAGTCATCTCCACAAGATAGGCGTGGTTGATGATCCTAGATGTAAATTGTGTGAACAAGCGGAAATGGATGCAGACCACCTAAACGAATGTCCTCCTTTGACGGATATAAAGAATCAAACATATGTAAATGATTAAATACAAAAATCAAACTTATATTGGGCAGCAAGATGTCGGATGGTCGAATGACCAATGACTATGGCATAGGAAAAAAAAAAAAAGAAAAAAAACAACTAAATTTTCAAAAACTTAGTAAATTTAAATGTTTTTTTAAATCAAAGGTGCGTTTAGATATTTCACAAACAATGGGAACAAAAAAAATTATCTAACTCAGGAGTCTCCAAATGCAAGCACCTTCAGTCCGGCCAGCGAAAGTATCTTTGATTATATCAAATTTCCTATATGATTGTATAACATTTTTAGAACAATATTATAACGTATATTATAAAAAATTGATTTTTTCTGAAATTTCTCGGAATTGCCAAGTAAATTTATAATTGATCTAACTTTTGAACTGTGGGAGATAAACTAGTAAATTAATGTATATTCTTGAAGAAAATTTAATTATTCAAAACCTTTTTTCCACATGGCTTATTCGAAGAACGAAGTTAGTGGAATACAGTGGAATAAACATGAAGCAAATATGGTTTTTCAAAATTAGCCATATTTAAGGACGGACAGCTCGAAAACTAAGTGAGGTAGCAAAATGTATGTAATCAATCATACAGCATATATGATCAACTTTAATTTTGTATAGCACGTCTTTGTCGATGCAATGGATAGTTTTCCTGATATACGCGAAAACCCGAAAAAGGTGACCAAGGTGCTCCCCCATCTCTGGCTCACCCCTACTAGGAATTGGAACTTTTAACTATAGTTTTTTTTTTTTTCAAGAAACGATCATATAAATAAAATCTACACTGTAATTGTTTCAAGTGAAAATATTTAATTGAAAAATAATAATATTGATTTTAAAAATATATTACAGAAAAAGGACTGGAGACCCGTTTCGAAAATTTATCAATTTTTCAGGTCTCTAAAATTCAAACAAATATTTTCATAGAAAAACTTTCTATCGATTTCTATTTCTATTCAATTTACTAAAATGTAACTTTATATCTTCTTACAACGGTTGTTGCACCCATAATCATAATAGGAGACCAACTTTTGTTCCAAATACGTAGAAATATGTACGTTTTTAGCAAAACCTGGCTAAAAATGAACGTATAATTCTAAAAAAGATAGCAACAAACAAAGAATAATAAGCAATTGAGGAGGACCCAGACTTTTCTAACCCCGCTCTTAGTGCCCGTTAAGCTCCGCCTTTTCGGTTCCAATTTTCTTTGTGGCTTACCCTCCCCAAATCTATTCCTTCTTCCAAGCACAAAACATTGATAATATCGAATATAGATCGAGATATATCTGTAGAGAGACATAATACTTGTTTAGAATATTTTAACAATATATTACTTTACGAGATTGTTGTTTCTATTTGAAATTTTAATTTGTTATTTTAGCTATACTACTTTAAGTATTCATATAATTTTTTATAAAGTATCAACTTACTAACTTATCTCATCATCTGTTATAACCTTAATGCAAACTCGCCAAAATTTTTGATAGGAACATATTTGGATAAAGTACTCTTGGTTTCAGTGAAAATATTTGTGTAAAATGGCAGTTTGGAGTTCTTTAAGAACTAGCATTAACAGATTGTTAATAAATGGAACTAGAAATGGTATGCATTTAATATTAGATTCCCTCTGTTCTGAAAAAAAATCACTGAATAGTTTTAAATTATTTTTACTGTTGTTTTCATTATTAAAACAGCTTTTGTATCTGTGCAGTTCCTTGTCAACAAAGATTCATGAGTGGAGATCATGGCCATCACAAAGTTATGGAAATAAGGGCCACTCGTTTCCAGTGGCAAAAGATGAAAGATTTGTTCCATTTTTATTTAATGCTAGGAATCATTCCAGTTGGCTTGCTGATTTTTTGTTCTAATGTGTTCATTGGACCATCTACACTTAGAGAGATACCTGAAGATTATACTCCACAACATTGGGAATATTATAGAGTAAACAAAATAACTGATATTCATTGTTTCTGTTTGATTATACTTATAACTAACTGTTATTTGTATGTATTGATATTTGTTTTAGCATCCTATAACCCGCTTTCTAGCCAGATATGTTTATAATAGCCACCAGCTAGAATACGAAAAAACTTTACACAGGCTCTATGAACAGGACGAGAAACAAAAAATAAGGTATTTATTATAAAGATGATAATTTTATGAGTAGTAGTAAAGAATGCATTTGTGTATATTCTCTCGGAACTTAAAACTCTAGACATCCTTATCTAATAATGTTAGATTGTAATTATATACTAGTGATCCTTAGTTGTAATTTTTAATCTAGATTATATGTACTAATGGATTTTCAACTTGAATTATTTTTAGGTGTAGTATGTAGATCAAACAAATACTTAAGCAGATTAAGAAACTTCAACATTTTAAATATCTGTTAATAAGTTGAATTTAGGATTGTAGTATTTGTGAGTTGAATGATGTAGGAATGGGCCAATTGAAACACTGATATCATCAGGTCTATGAACATAAACAGAACTTCACTAGATCAGTTATAAAGGAAGTTTGATTAGAATATTCACAATAATTGAGAAAGAAATTGTTAATGACCATATGAAAATATATGATTTTTCCTATTTAAAATCATAATACATTGGGTTTGTTGACTCACCTGACTACAGAGTTCAGATAAATTTAAACCACTATAAATATGTTCTCAATAAGTGTTGAATGTATCTTAAGTTCAGGTTCAAAGAAAATTTTATCACCATTCAGATAATCCAAAATGTTCAGAGAATTGATTATGGTACAGTTTCTTTTATAAACTTAAGTGCTTAATCTGGGCATATGTTAAAAATGTGTATGTAAAAATCTGTTGAAAACCGCACATCATAAATTTGACCCGATTATAACACTTCTCTTGTCTTCGAATAGCAAAGTAATAAAACACGTAGAAAATCGAATAAGCTTTATCATCACTTATACTGGTTCAATTGCGGTGATTTTTTATTTTGTATGAAATTTAATTACTTTTCAATAGCAGATTTTCATCAAAATCATTAGAGCTGTTTTTGTACTATATTCAATAAAAAAATATGTGTAAGGCCTGATTTGATTCACCGGTATAGGTGGTCGAAACCCTACAAAATCAAAAAAAGAAGCAACAAAATTGGCCATGCCCATCCTATTCCTGAGATAATTGTGTTCCAGACAGACAGGCATTTTTTGGACTCATAGGGTTCTGCAGCTTAAAGATTTGTTGAAAACTGCTCAGTGAAAATTTTCTTCAATTACAATACTTCCCTTACCTAGCTGTAGGAATCTAAATAGAAAATGTATATAAGTAAAAGAGTTCGAACAGTATAAAATACAACTCATGAAGGGTCTTGGCATCAGCATTTAGTAAAAAACTAATTTCTCATTGCAATGGTTGAGCAAGGAGTTGATTTGACTGGAATAACACTTAAAAGATTTTTTGAATTATTGAAGGAAGCTAGTTGACTGTTCTACATATCATGGGTCATGGGTGATAAATAGTCAGAACGCAGTCATTATAAACAATTTTTTATTTGTGCCAACGTTTCTAGCCAAACATGTGGATCATCATCAGGGTGTGGTTCGAGTACTGAAGGCTTTCAAGTACTTCTTTCAGTACTATAAAGCCCTGATGATGACCCGCATGTTTGGATTTAAACGTTGGCACAAAAATTAAAAAAAATTTATAATGACTGCGTCCTGACTATTTATCACCCATTAAAAGATTTCCCCCTTTATTTAATTAAGAATCCTCACTTTATAGAGGCTGGGTTCACTCCGGGAGGATCTCTTGATCCCATGGTTGATCCGTGGGTTATGTACCAGAATTAATAATTTCCTACTACAGCCAGACAAGAACCCTGAGCATAGCACCCTATTTACTGAGCAATTCCTGCAGTTCTCAGCTGGACAGGATTTATAATTAAACTCTGATCTAGAGGTGCACATGAAAATAATTGTTTGTTTGAATAATGTTCACGTTTAGATTAAATAGTCTTAACTTTCATTACTGATGTTATTATCATTTATTTTTTATTATTATGAAGATTATTTTCTTGGTTAAAATTGCCAGATGGCGTATAGCCTGTTCCCTCCTCTATAACAAATTAGAACTTCTAACTTTAAATCCGTGTCTGGTTTTGAGTAGAAATGTAAAGAAGACTGATCGATTTACTCAGTAGCAGGCCAATAATAATTTTTTTGAAATTTCTTTCTTTTTTATTTATTTAGACATAATAATCTGTCTCGTGGACAATAATTATAGTGATATATGAACACATTCATACCATATATACAGAAAATATAAAATTAACAAAAGTAAAATAATAATAAAAAAAAAACTGAACAATAAAAAGTAAAACAACCTACAGATAAGTAAATTAAAAACATGAAAACACAGTCATACCTATATACAATCAGGCAGGGAACCCCAAGCCAGGCCTCTCCCTCCAACTATAGAAGGAAAAGCTGGACTGTGGAGATTCCTGTGCTACTCTCTCAACCTCATCACTGTTGCTAAAGCCAGTGAAATTAGTTAGCTAAAATGAGATGATGGTTTGTTAATAATAAAATCTTAATTCTTTTATCATTTGATAATATTGTTCAGATATTTTATCTTATCATACTTTTCAGGAAACTGCAAAGTAAGGTTTTAGACTTGATGTACAAAAACAAGGATTACCAAGCCTATTACTATGTTCCAGTTGATGGTAAATACCACCGTATTGTTAGACAAGAATCAGAAGAGATTGCCAAAGTTGGTGGATTTGTAGCACCAAAATTAGGTCCTCCAGTTTAAACTTTTGTGTTGTTGATTGTAAATATTGTTATGTAAATAGATGGACTTTGTAGACACCATATTTAATAAATATTTTTTTTGATCAAGTAAAATTTATTTATTGGTTTGTTTATTTACCTCTATTTATTCTCAATGATGAGTTGTTTAATCTGTAAAAAAAAGACTATTTTCTAAATAATATTCCATATAGATCAGATTTTAGATTTAATACTTATAATATTAGTTGGATATTGAAGGATAGAGAATAAAGATTTATTTCGTACAGATTTTTGTTTCTTTCACCAATGCCTATAAGAAAATGAACTAAAATGCTGTTCTCTAAATGCTTATTAAAATGAAACTGATATGATCAATTGGTAGTAAAAACAACTAAAATATATGATATTAAATTTATTTGAAATTTTTGTTTGTTTTATTAATTGAATATTAATACCACACTGAAGGGCATTAATATTAGGGATATATTAATTCACACAATATGTACATACAAATAATAAAGAAAATAGAGATAATAAAGAAAAAGAAATATAGAAAATAAAATATAAAAATTAATATACATATGTACAAAAAATGAAATAATAAATAGAAGCTAAAAGAAATAAAACACATTCACACCTATATAACATAACGACTCATGCTTTGTCCCCCAAATGTGGAAGCCAAAGCAGGACTCCAGGAGATCCCACATGTTCTCTCCCAGCGGCGTCACTGTTATGTATGAATAATAGTAATATTTTCATACGAAATTGGTTACTGAAATAACTAAATGTTGTATAGATATCAAACCTTAACCCTAAATAAATGTCCTAAAACTTATTACTTTGCAATTATCATCCATAATGTTAATTGAACAAAATTGATAATTAAGTAAAATTTTTTTATCTTGTACATATGGGTTTATACCTGTAAAAAAATAAAATTGCTAATGTGGGACACAAAGGAGAAACTTTTTACTGGCAATTATTTTTTTGTATTTTCACTTATAACTCCTAAACGATGCATCAAAGTGAAAAATGTATTTAATAAATTGAAGAACGTTAAATTTTGTGTCGAACAAGTACATAAACTTTATAATTTAGTTACGGAGTAAGGTATAAAACCACGGGCAACCAATGTTGATTTTTATATAATTTGTCAAAAACTGAGACAAATTATTATAAATGACCCTGTAACTTGGAAATGAGTTCCCTCAGAGGAAAAACTTCTAGAGTTAAAGTATTAGAGAAAGTTAGTGTTCACTGAGTACCAACTAACTTAATAAAGGTCACTTACTCCGAATGGTAATCTCACTTAATCGGTAATCTCCCAATGGTTAGAAATTGGTAATGAAGGTAAACGTGGTTTTCAATCTTTTAACAGTACGGGTATCTATTCTACTCAGTTAGTTTTGTTTAAAGTAAGTTATATGCAGTATTAGGCTTTTTTCCACCTCTCAGTAGCAAAGGATTTTGATAAATAATGTGTTGAAAGATACCGAATTTCACAGAGGAATAATGAATCCGGATTCCAGATATATAATTGGCCTACAATAAAAATGTCAGTACTATAACTTTGATTCTATGGGTTTTTCCTCTTAAGGAACTCATAGAATCAAAATAGAACCTGAGTCACAGGGGCATTTATAGTAATTTGTCTCAGTTTTTGACAAATTTTATAAAAATCTGCATTGGTTGACCGTGGTTTGTACCTTACTAAGTAACTAAATTATAAAGTTTATGCACTTGTTCGACACAAAATTTAACATTCTTCAATTTATTAAAGAATACATTTTTCACTTTGATGCATTGTTTAGGAGTTATAAGTGAAAATATAAAAAAAAAAAAAAAATGGCAAAAAATTCCGACTTTTTTGGCTGTCAAAAGTTTTCTCTTGGTGTCCCGCATTAGCAATTTTGTTTTTTTACAACCCATATATACAAGATAAAAACTTTACTCACATTTTTCGCAATGGATTTTTCGTTTCGATTCTCAAATTACTGGTCTAATATTCTTTAAATCAGCTGCCATTTTTGAAAGCAGTGGCTCTGGAATGGCAGAAAAGGTTATTTTTACTCAGAATAACATACAATTTTATAATTTACAATCGAACCTTCGCCTGCGATGAGGTCGATTTTTGGGCCCTGGCTCCAGAGGAGCCAAGATGTTTTTGGAAACGTTTTCCATCATATTAAATGTACAGTTTTGTAAGAAAAGTCGGTAACATTTGTCTCAGGACATTTTTTTCCTCCCAACTTTGGGGACAAACCTATTTTCCTACTTAAAATTCAAAATAATTGAGATAACTAAGAAAGGTATCTGTAATTCGAAATACCATCATATAGCAGTGAAATTTGTCATTGTTCAAAATTATTGGATACAGATTTTCATTTCAAAGCATAAAGAACTTTGCATCCTCATCTTGAGGACGGTAACATTTGTTAAGTTTTTTTACATTCACATTGATATATTCATTCTTGTAATTGAGGTTTATTTTAATGTCACCATTCCATTCCTTAGAAAGAATACAAAAAAGTAATACCATTACTTTATTTTTTCAACATGAAAAAACAAAAGTAAAGCCCAGGGATGGTTAGGACATGGTCAAATATTATAATAATGACCCATAAATGTTTTAACTTAAGATTTCTAATACATTATAATACTAGGAATAAGGGGAAAATATTAATAAAACAATGAATAAAAGGTGTAGGTTTTATTGACAATACTGCGAATACATCAAAAACTATTAATATAAACAATAAGTATTTATAAATACAAAAGTGTCTGTGCGATGGACAGATTTTAGTACAACATACAAAAACTTGAAATTCATCAAGTAAAAAACAAAATTGTTATACCACCACAAGGTTGGTCTTGATTTTATATAGCAGCTTATACTCAAATCAACCAAATCTATACTTTTAGTAACAATGCTTTTAACACTAACTTGTTGATAAACTCGAAGTGTTTAATTCCAATAAAATGGATTATTACTTTTAATTTCAAACATATCTATTATATACATAATCACCTCTAGAACAAATAAATATCACTGCTGGTCAAGTTCTCTCCACACTTAGGTCGAGGCTAATGCCACTGTGGTAATCTAAACAAACTTTTTTTTGCATTATTATATCCAATTGATTTAAATATACACTGCTCAATATAAATCAAGACCCCTGTGGGAAGAGGATGTATAACATGCTGTTACTCAAAAATCTTAATCTATTGTCGGTCCTACACCTATATATATATTTTTTTTAAATTATTAGATTTAGATGAAAAGCTTGCAAGTTACGCTTTTAACAAATTACCACTTCAGTTAAACTGTTTCAACAAAAATTCCTGAGTATTAAAATAAAAAAGACAACATTAGGAAATATTTTGTTTTATAAATTAAAAAATTGAAAAACCACCAGTACATAGTAAGTTATTACTATTCAATTAGGATCCTAATTAACACTAACAGTTACCTAGTTCCTACGTACCACATTCATGTTTGTAAGAGTACAAAATATGTGGAGAAAAAGGCTATACATTAATTACAACAAAAACGGTAGACAGGATTCAAGTCGATAACGTTGTCATAGTAAAACTTAAAACATAAATGGAATGTTAGAACCAAAGTGACAACACAACCAACACTTATTTGAACAACACCTACATTCAAGCTACAGTGATATGCATAAAAATATATGTTCTTATACTAGGAGTTGTGATATATATAAAAATAAAAAGCTGCGACAAGAAAAGACAAAATTGAATTTAATTATAAATACTTTTCACTATAATAATATTAGGGAGGGAAAGGTTCAAAAGGTATAAGAGACAAATATTGGCCATTTTAAAAGTCACCAACCGTTCATTAAAGAAGCCGTTCCCTGAGGGTCTAATTGCTACACAGTGTGCTAATATACAATAGAACTATTATTGTCTTTTTAATTTCAAAACATACCAATGTGCTGTTGTAAAGGTTAATGATGCAAATAGACCCGAAAAAAGAATGGCTAGAACTGATTTTATGAACAGTGATAAAATTTGATGAGACCAACGTTTGCATTACCATGGCATTTGATTCCACATAAAAACTTTTTGTTTTTAAATATATAATATACATTATAGACGTAAGAAGGTCACAATCAAGTGACTGAAGTATTTATAACTTCTTTTTTTTTCCCTTCATGATTACATACAAAAAATAATGCTGAACGGTTTAGGGGTATTAAAAATTAAATCACATATACTCCATATGTGCAATATAATATGTTGTGATTAGTCATCTACTATGTAGCTATAAGAATTAGTTTTTTAGTAATTTTATACTAAAACATTAATAACAAAAATATATCATCAATATACAAAGAAACCAAACTTATAAGTTGGACATCCCCAAGCGATATATTTAAAATAAAATGGCACTTCTAAATATATATTAAGTATATTATCTAAGTCTATTAGCATTCATAGCATCCGTAACATAAATTAAAACAACAATAATAAACAAAAAATTGTGTTCTTAACTCTGTAATGAAAAGCAATCTTCAAGAGTGGACAAGGCTTATTTATTTCGAGTGGATACATTATTCTAGACCCACTTTGAAAAAGTAGGAATTACAAAATGGATGGACAAAATTAAGTACAAAAACCCTGCTTACACCGTACATACCATAGCACCATTAACAATTTTCTCATACATTAGCAGAAGAGGAAATTGAAAGGGGTGCTGACCGTCGGTGAAATACGAAATAGATACTAAGGTTAGACATTTTTTTTAATTTTTTTTTTTTTAATTTTCATTTGAAACCCGATATAATACTACATCAACACCGGGATGTAATACTGAATAAAAAAAGATTTTAAATGGGCTTGTTTAAACTTTATTTACAGGACGAATATTACACATAATACAAAAAAATGAATGAAAAGAAATCGAAATACTTAGCATAACTTTTTTCTTTCAAGAAACAATCTTTGTAAGAGATCAGTATATATATATAAACATACAAAGCCCTAAATCAGAACCATAATGTAAACATTATATATCGAATTTTGAAGTGAAACCCCATTATATATTTTGGTCTCTCTTAACATTCCGCCACACGTCGAAATAACATCCATATATTTCCCTTATAAACATATTCATTCTTCTATACACAGTTTTAAAGATCAAATACAGTATTCTATACATTTCATTATAGTAGTATTATTATATATAATATATTTATAAAGTTAACTTTGTGAAAATAAAATATTCTAAATGTTTCCTTTTACTCCATTTTTCTTCTGTGTATACCTGTCTGCAAGTGTAATGGTGTTTATGGGCATAAGGAAAGAGGAAGGGAAAGGAGGTAGGGTGGGGCAAGATGTTTAGGCAAGAGTCGAGTTGTCCCACTCGAGGTCCTTTAACTTCCCAACGGTGATATGCTCCTCCTCATCTGATGAGTCCAACTCCTCATCTTCTCGATAGCTTGAATTATCATCAGATGAATCATTATCTTGATCTCCTTCACCTGATCTTCGCCCACCAGCCTCTTCTCCTTCCTGGGAATAACAAATCATTTTCATGTTAGAGCAATAAATGATTTATTCTTATAAAATGTAGCTTGCAATAAGTTACACTTTGAAATCCGTTAGGTAAAGGGGATATTCTGACTGATTAGAAAGGCCATAAATCCAACATTATGAAATATAAAAAAAAAGTCAATAAATCAGGAAACTCAAGGGAGGTAGATTAACATAAGCTAAGAGGAAGAAGAGATAATGTTCGGTAATGTAGTAAATATATATTTAAGGTTTATAGGAGACTAGACTAATAATTTAGATATGGAGAAATATCATGGTGTAGGTATGGGTAATGAACATTAAGGACTTGAGATTTGAGAAGGGATGAAGAATTTAGTGGTTTCAGATGTATATATTAGATGATAACATTTTCTAAGAAATGTTAAATGACTGGACAGAAAACTATAATATTGCTTAAATTGTGCGGATGGTAAATAAAAAAGTTTTTTCTATTGGTTTATACAGGGTATCCAGTAAGTAAAGGGACATTTTTATAGGAGTGATGGTAGACCTCAAGAGCAACAAAAAAGTTCATATAAAAAATGGGCCGATTTTCAACAGAAAAGTAGGATTAAGCTCAGTTTTGTAAAAAAAATTATGGTAATTTTTATCCCGTCGAGTAAAAGTACTCCTGTATTCAGCAAAAGTGACTATAATAAATTGTTTCAAAGCTTTTATTATTTCTTGTTATTCTATGATCTGGAATGTATTTTAATAAAACCAATTGCCAAAACACACATTTTATTTATAGGAAAAAATTAATTTGAAAAATACTGATTTTTCGAATATTTTTTCCGGTAAATCGGTTATAAACTGTGTTTTTCACCCAGATCACTATTATACGAATTGATCAGTACTTGTGAGTGACAAAACTAAAGAGTCATAAAATTTAAGGTAAAAAAAAAAATGCTGATTGCTTCAATTATTTTAATGAAAATGTTAATATTAGGTTCAGGAGCATTTAGCTTGTCACTACGAACTTAAAGCTTATTAACCGAAGAAGTTTTGTAAAAGTGGGGTAACAGTAGTATAATTGGTCGATGATAAAAAAAAAAAAAAAAAGGCAAATAATTAATGATTTTTCTAAAAACTAAACTTAGCTTAGTTTAGCCGCTCAAAAGTCCTCTGTAAATGGTTTTAACAATGATAAACTTTATGTTCATTTAAAGTAAAGTTTATCTTGTTTACAATGAAGCAATTATTAATTACTTCAATTAAATATTTCTTTAGTTATTGCTTTCGAATAAATAGAAAACACAACTCACTTAAAAATCCACAAAACTTGGATTTGCTACTTTTCTGCTTAAAATTGGCCCATTCTTTATATGAACTTTTTTTGTAGATCTAGATGTTTACTATCAGTCCTATAAGAATTTCCTTCTACTTACGGGACACTCTGTAAAATTTATTATATTTCAAGGTCTACGATTTGTTGTTTTGGGGATAAAATCTAAAGGAAAAGCCTTTTTAGTGGTAAAGTCTTATCAAAGAAAAAGCTAAGTGAAAGAAGTAACTGAATTAAAGAGGATTAATTTTTTTTCAATCGATTAAAAAGAAAATAAATAATACCTCTTCCATAGGATTAACAGTTATATTAAGCGCAGAATCATCCCAAGCCATTTCTGCATCATTCAGCTCTTCCTGTGCATGTCTTTGATGAGCAGCCCGTATCCTCACAACTCCAAGTACAATCATAACGACAAGGAAGCCAACACAAACCACCATTATTATAGTAACAGCATGACCTGAAATTTAATCAAAGTGTAAAGCTTTATAAATTTAAAAGACATTTTTATAAGTAAAAAAATATTGAATTAAATATTTTTAAAAATTGAAGTAAAAAAAAAAAGCTCGAGAGTAGTATCAATTAATACATCCATCCCCCCATCCCAGTTATGTAGGTAAAAAAGCCGCCCAAATAATATCTGCATTGGTGATATAAATACACTATGATTAATGTGTTATGCCTGTATTCATGCCTGAACTATTTTTTTTTTTTCAATTTAAAGAAATCATATATTTATCAACAATTTTAGAGTATTTAGAAACTAATATGTTGCAAATCATCCTAAAAAAAAGTTATGTCTTACGAACCTTATTTTTGAACTGAATTAGAAAAATTCAATGAATTTTGCTGATATTTAGATAGAATAAGACTATTTTTATTTTTATAACAAAATCATTTTGTAAAAATTTACTTCGAACATCAGATAATGAACCATCAACTCCAAAAAACTGATGTTGGCATCAGTTTATAGCAGATCCTACATGGTAATTCATGAATGAATGTCACAAGAAGTGCCAAGATTGCTTGGGATCGCTTTGATCATGAAGACCCTTACACATTCAATCATTACTGATCAATACTTATCGTTTCTGATACCAATTTAGCTCAGTTATAAACAAAGAAACAGCATAGATATGCTTATTTGGACATTTTCATTTATAATATTGGGCATCAAGAGAAAAACGGAGATATAATAATTACTTTCTAGTGCCTGAAAATCGTTTAGACCAAAGTTAGAAAAATATAAGCCAACTACATACAAATATCTACGAAAATTATAGTGAAAATAATCAATTTGTTACGAAAAATGGAAAAATTAATGATAAATAAACACAACAGTTACAGATTTTTTTTCTATAAGTAAATTGTGAAGTTTCCACTTTTTTTCTCTTCAATTTATTGCCTACTTGACTATTTAAATAAAAAATAGTTGAAAATGGTTAATAATAATATAGACTAGGGATAACTATTTACTTTTATGAAATTATTTACTTAATAACGAGACCTAGGTAAACTAACCTATCTAGTAGTAAGGTTAGTCTCATAGAAAATCGTTTTGACAAAAGTTAGTAAAATATAAGTTTATTACTTACAAAAATTAAGGAAAGGTATTGCGAAAATAATAAATTTGTTGAGGAAAATGGGAAAAAAACTGATAAATATACACAACGTTAAAGTTTTTTTTTTTCTTAAAGTAAATTGTGAATTTTCTACATTTTTTTTTTTAATTTGTTGCCCACTTGACTATTTAAAAGAAATAGTTGAAGATGGTTTAAAATTATAAGCAAGGGATATGAAAAATTATTTAACTATTTACATATAATGAAAATCAGAAATTTATAATGGTTGTGAGGCCTAGGTAACCTAACCTATCCAGTAGTATGCTTAGTCTCCCCACTACTTTTACCTTAGTCTCCCCTCCACTTCTCGTGAATGAACCTTTGATTTCCGGATGTTCGGAAATCTGCAGCGCACCACCATCAGTACTTCATTCACTACCTTACACGATAATTCGGAACGTCATTAGTGCCACGGAATGCAATTCCGAATGACCGTGTAGTGTCCGCCTATAAATACATGGTAATAAAATAAAATACCAAATCTTCATGTACATAGGGACATGAAGCTTGGTTTAAGGAAAAAATTGAGTGTTTAAATATAATCCTGAGTTTACATATGATCTTATATAACTCTAGTAAAGGGACAGTACTTTTTCACCAAGTAATGAGCATCTTACTTTAATAATATAATAATGAGCAACATAGGTAAACTAACTTGTTGCTGAAACAAGGGGCTGCCTCTCGTAGTGCTCGATAACGGCATGCGGATGAACGTCAACATGATGCTGTGCGACTTGAGCATGGGCAACTGGGATCTTAGTGGCTTGTTCCTCAACAACAACACCTCCAGGCAGAGCACCACCAGCAGTATTTGTTCTTGCTCTTGGGTGGATCACTGTCAACTTAAGTAGACAAACAAATTTAATTAATGAACGGCACTATCTTCTACTAAGATATTACTAAGCATTTGTCCTACTTACAGTTTGTACGTATTCGTTGCTAAGGAAACGACCATTCATTTCAGAACAAATCAATTTAAATACACGGTTAAGATAGTAAGCTGGCTTCCTGTTGGTATATTGAATCTGCCTCAAAACCTATTCAAATAAACAATAATTGCATGAAATATATTAAAATACAATAAAATATGAAATATTCATTGAGATTGTATTATGAAATATCTAGTACTAGATAACTTTTACTAACAGAGGAATCCGATAAAAAGTTAACAATAACCAGTTTTTAGCCCTCATTTTCATTGATACAATTAAAGGTAATACTGATCATGAAGTGTATAAGTTAAGATGTAAAATAAACAAAATTTAGGTAAAACATTTCCAATAATTGAGCAGCTTCTTAGCCAGCATCAGTTTCCAAGTAAGGAGCAACAGTTAATTAACTTGAAAAAAGGTTTAAATAAAATATTGCCCAACGAATAAAATATTGCCCAAAAGAATGTGCTGAACTATTTTTAGTTTGTTAATTTTTCTTTACAATTAGCTTCTAATAAATTTGCACCAGTAGGTAATGTAAATAGCATTTTGATCTGATAAGATTAAATTTATTTTAGAGCTGCTAAACCTGATACCCAATAAAGCTGCCAATATCAACATAAAAGTAATAGTAATTTTTAAAAAATAATTTAATTAATTGAAATTAAACAAAACCCACATTGAATAATGTTAAAGTAATAATTATTAAATGTCAAATACAATTTTCTATCCACACTTTATTGAGTATGTCTTAATACTTACTTGTTGATAATTGTAGATGATATTTGAACCAATAAGTGTAGCTCCATCCTTACTAAGCTTGGCTGTAATACCAAACTGCGTTATCATGTTATGGGGGACGGTCAAAGTCTCGTGGTCTGGATTTAGTGATGGGTAGACAGTTACGACGCACGAATCTAAACGTTTCTCAGCTGACTCATCGGCTGCTACATAATATAAATTACAGATTAAAATTATGAAATCAATGATACAAAGCTATAGAAATAACAAATAAAAAGAAAAATATAGACAAAATGACGTAAAAGTAAATATTGTTCATCATCGTAAAAACTTATCCCTAATGCAATCCCACACAGACAGACATAAAATTCATAAACATTAGTATTAATAATAATCAATATATATAATTAAATAAAGATTAATTTACGAAACAACACATTGCCCATCCACAAACGGGAAATGAATAAGTTAATACCACTTACAGGAAAGACAACAAATTACAGAATCATAACACTTACTATTTTTCCATGATTTGCCAGGTGGTGACACTCCAACATGAACGTCAGTGAACACTTTGACTCCTTCTCTGAAATCATGATAATCACTGGCCAAATTGGAAGTACCGTTGATAACTAATGAAGGCTGCTGTGGCGGCAACACCATGACGTAACTCTCTACATTTGGTACTTTGACTGTCCTGCCTCCATCACATCTAAAACATTTAATTATTTGTATAAGAATATATATTTTCCCAAATATTTTTAATTTCAAAAACTCTTAATATTAAATAAAACTTACGTAATAGTGGTTGATAAGTGGAGATTTCTTCTTCCGGGTGTAGGGAAATCTCTTGAGTTAGTATATCCAATTTTTTTAATTAGTACTTCAAGATTTGTTTTGTTGTCACCCTCAATCGACAATTCAGTCAAATCTAGAAGAAAAAATCCATATACACATATATCAATCAGGTAAAATATTATTAATTTTTAAAATTATAAGACTGGAGGAATAATAATAAATTTTTTTGAATCCTTTTAATGCCATTAGATAAAATTTAACAGCTTTAAGAAATTATAAAAAACATAAGATGTTCCTAGTGAAGTAGTCCAAGTAAATTTTTGTTATGAAAAAGTAAGTCAGATTCGTTTTTAGCATTTTTATAAACTCTAACATAAGGATTATTATAAAAATTTTGATTTTAGGAACGGGTTTAAAGCATTTACATAGTTAAATAAGTCCCCTTATAATTAGTTTCATATCTTAGTCAAGTACAATCTTAAACCAATCTAAAAATTGTACCAAGTACAATCTAAAAGGTGTGCACCTCCAAATTCAGCAACCGTTAGAGTTAGAGAAGGAAAAATAATTACGAGTTCAAATCAAATCACAGTGCCCAGTGGGACTTTTAACTCGGTATAATTACTCTGCCCTCCCTCTGGCCCAGGGGAGCCCGTGTAGCCTATAAAGCAAGGAAATGAGAGAAAAAAAAAAAAAAAAATTCGTGATCCAGTAATATTGCCACCCATAGCTCATGTATTCTATCATTACCTGAAAAAAGGTTGGCATAATCATAAGTAAAGATTAGGATTACAGTAATTTTGATTACATATTACGATTATAGTAATTTTGATAGCCTGATTACAATTACAGTGAATCAGATTTCCGATTAGAATTGTAATCAGGTAATTGTGTCACAGTTTTGCTATATTTATAGTGCTGATGTATTAAGTAATAAATTGGCTTAGTAATTAAGTTTTATTTTCAGTTGTAATCATGTGATCATTGATTCAGATTTTGCCCATCTCTGCCCTAAACATACCTCTACACCTTTATCTAACTACATATTAAATGTTCTTTATTGTTAAACCAGTATCCTCATTACACAGAGCAATTTTTTGTAATTAAAATTGATCTTTTAGATATGTTATCTGGTGACATTTTTTGTTTTTTCAATGTGTTTGCACTAATATTTTTGTTAATTGAAATGGAAAAAAAGTGTTGGACTGATGAAAAGATGGTCGCATAATAGGGAAACTGTTATTTACCACGGTAACTATACTATGTTAATAGTATACATACCTTAGATATTGTTACATATTCTCTAGCATTTACGATCTGTTCTTTATTTAAAACAAACCTTTTATTGAAATTAGTCATATATTAGAAAAATAGAGAGGACAAGAATTGTTGATGCAACCAGTAGCTTAGCTTAGGGCAAGGGTCTTCAAACTATGGCCAGCAAGCATCTCTAGTCTTTTTTCTCCAATCTCCAATCAAGTTTCTTTGATTTTAGTAAATCACTCAAACAGAAGGTTGCTACAACATTTATTGCATGAGTTGTTTCTCTCAGAAAGCCCATTTTCTTTTTTATCAGAAGCCATGGCTTGTGGGACATGATGGAGGTCTCAATGTAACCCGCGGGACAAAAAGCGTGGAAACCCCTGGCTTAGGAAATAATCGCAGTGTTTTTCCCAATCCTTGCTCAAGTATCCTCTCCCTCCCCCCCCCCCTCACGCCTCCGGCCTCCACTCAACCTCTTAGTTTATTAACATCTTATAAAAATAAATAAAATAACTAGATACAAAGAATCGTTTATTTAATAGACTTAGATATATTAATTGTACTGATTAAAGCTATGACTATTATAATCTGAGAAATACATAAATTAAAGTACTACAGTTTCTGAAAACAATCCTTAAAAAAATACTAATAAAATCTCCAAAAAACAAACTAATAATTCATTTAGTTAACTAAACATATTACTAAACTTGAAATATAATTAATGCAGAAATAACTAACCGCTGTTGGTGAGAAGTTCCATTCCTGGCTCTAGGAGCTCCATTGGAGGAACATCAAGGCTCTCTTTGCATTTATGAAGGCAGCTGAGCACCGAAGGCTTCTCGACTTTGTTTAACAGGACAGAGAGACCAGCTAGGTAGCCGTGGAGGTGGTGCTTCATTTTGTTTTCGGATCCTGTCAATTCAGAATTTATTACTTTCAAAGGTAATAATGATCCTAGGAAATAAAAATAAAATTATTAATCATTAAGAATACATAATAATCTAAGTAAAAGAACTTGAACGGTCAGAGTTAGCTCACTTACATACATCTAAATGTCAATCACATTTAAAACTAAAAAGAAATAAAACTTCAAACTATTTAATGAATATTCTTCTGGTACCAATTTGCTTTGGAGAATATGTACTTTTTTTTTTAAAATTGCAAATAAATTATATTTTTGAGGAAACAGTTACAGAAAAGACTGACAGGATAGAGTAAGAAGTATATTATGATTTGTCAAGAACAGGGAACCAACATTATCTACTTGAGGTAGTTACTTTTTAAAAGGTGATAAATTAAGCAATGAAGGTCCATTATCCAAAAGATTAATGGTTGAAATTAAGGTACCACACTCAGAAGCAGGATAACTACTCAGTTAGTACTCCAGTACTCACCTGGCGGCCTGGACTGAATGTTGTGGGAACAAGCCTCAGCCAAGGCACGGAGACAATAGCAAGACCTCTATACCTAATGGTTAAAGAGCATTCAAATAAGAGGAACATCTTTTAGGTTATTTCACGGTCTACTAGCTATTCCTAGAATTTTTTTTTTTAACCAAGTCCAGAAATTCAGCCCCTTGAGGATAATGAGCATAAATTCTTGATACAAAAAAAAAAAAAAAAAACAGAATAAAATTTGCGATAAATCACAAATTTTTCGTTGTAATAAATAATTGCATAGAACTTACTTTTTTCAAGAATGAACGAGTTTTTTTTTTTTAAGTTATTTTAGGTTTCTATCATTCATTATTAAACCTATCTTCAATAAATTATATGAAAAAAAAAATAAAGCAGTTAATAATATTAAAAAACCAACCTTGCCAGCAGGCACCGACAGTAAGAGTAGTATTAATGCCCTTGGTAGGATGGAGAGGCCAATCATCAATGACTTCAGGGTTTTTCTTTTCTGATTTGAAAAGTGATCCGTCGACATAGAGTTGAACTTCAGGAAACTGAACTGAGACGGCATAATGGTGCCATTCATCATCACAAACCTGAAATAGTAAAATACAATTGATTAATTTTCCAAATACATATATAAATACGATCAATATTAATAACAACAATGGCTTTAGAGTGGAGCAACCGAAGCAATCGCCCAGGGGGGATCTAGCAGTAGCGGCATTGCCATTGCCAACCACTTCAAGGGCGCTTGCCACTTGTTAGAAATTAAAAAAAATAAAATAATTCATGTTAACCTATCAATAAAGCAACTGCATAAGAGAAATGTTTAATGGAATAAAATTTAACTATGATATAATACAAAACAGCTTAAGAAATAATTTTTTTGGAGGGGGGGGAGGGAGAAGAGATGTCATTGCCCTGGGTGGCGAATACCTAAGGCCGGCACTGAATATCAAGAACATTTTGATCTGAAGAAAATAGAAGGAACGAATGCCTGATGGAATTAAGCCATTAGTATGCAACTATATTATCCTAGTTGACATTTTAAAGAAGCGGCTAAATCTTTACTTAACAATTATAGTTTCGGTAGTTATCTTTTATATGCAACTATCAATCTTTAATCTATGGAATACAGTTTGTGGAACATAATGCAGGGAAAATTTATACATTGCTTAAGATAGCACAAGACACAAAAATATTTTATTTAGAGCAATTTATACATTGTACAATGTAAAAAAGATAACACACTAAACAAGATTTGATCTGAGTAGGAGCATTGAGATATTTGCCTTAGAGAGCAGAGCGACAACTAATTGAGATCCTGGGGTGTTTTAATATTATAGACTGAATAAAGTTTAGACAAATCACACTATAACTTTTTTTTTTTTCTGACATAAGAATGCACCGCAGCCTCAAGAAGGCCTATTGTGCGTCATCCTAAACTCTATTAAAACAGGCCAGATGCCTTTGCGAACCTGTTAATACTAATAGGATCTAAAATAAAATACCTTAATTGCATAAATGTGGAATAAGCATGTGAAGATTATAATTAAAACAAAAATAATTAAAGGGATACTTTTATTCATAAATGTTATTTTATTTATACAAAGCAGAGACCTCAATTGAATAAATTATCCCACACATGGTTATTGGACATATAATTTTGAAACAACAGTAGCTAACAATAACAAACAATAGTAAAACTTTTGAAACACAAGGAAACGAATATAGACAATAAAATATCTGAATAGTTATTAAAATAAAATGTCATAATAGTACTGTCATCTTACCTGGGGTAGATTCCATCTCCATTCAGCAGGTCTAAAGATATTCAAATCTCCTTCTGAGAAATCTCTTCTTAGCAACAAAATTAAACGGCAGTTCCTCACAAACCAGGCATAATGGTGCCTATTCATTTCTACAAAAATTATATTTGTATGTATATTTATTTATACATACTTTAATTCTCTTTATTTCTTAATTCTTACATTTAAATATTAATAATCTTTATAGTAATAACTAAAACTCACTATGGTCATCAGCAGAACAAAGAATATGTTCCTTAACATGTTTATCTTGATTAGGATGGTTCTTATGCTTCAACCAGGTAGCGATAGTGAAGATTGGAGCCAGACCATGGTTCAGTACTTCATTAGAGACACTGACGGCTGAGCTGACACCATCAAATTCAAATATTTGATCACTTTCATGCCCATCATCAGTTGAAACACCTTTAGTGTTAGGAGCCAGAAGTTCAATACTGTCAGCACTAGCACCTGAAAAAAAAAGAGTTGAATTATATGGTTTGGAACAAGGAGAAAATTATTTATATATTCGAAACACAATTTTTTAAAATAAAAAATTTGTAATACTAGTAAAAAATAATATTTATTAGGGAGGGGGAGAAGGAAAAAAAAAAAAAAAAAAATATATATATATATATATATATATATATAAAAACAAAGGCTCTCCATTAGTAGCTGGCTGCACTGATATGTTTATCTATAAATCTACTAACATGATACACCATAGTACCTAGAAATATAACCTGAATAAAATTCAAGGATATTAATGCAGTGAACTGTAAAATACAAGGCACTATAAGACACTAGCTGATCCAAGATTTAATTTTGTGGGAGGCTTCAGCCCGAAACCTTTTTTTTCTCTGTATATAACGATAATTATTTTGGATAAAAATAAAGATACTAACTACCTACATGAAAAGGTGTTTAAGGTGTTTAAGTGATTCTTGAAGTCCTATAAAATGTAATTACAATAGTGCTTTAATAGATAATTTTTTCTCCATAAAACATGGTTACATTTTACCATTTTGGGAGGGGAGGGGGCTTCAGCCTTTTTTCCAAGAATAATTCTGGATTTTTTAATTCAAGCATCTCTCTTCCCCACTCACACAAACCATATACCATAAACACCTACTTCAAAAATCATAACATGTATTAAATTACTTATTGGATAAGTAAATATTGTTCTATTCAAAGTAGCTTATATTAATTTTTTTTAAACTCAAATTTTAAATTAATTAATAGCATACTAAATAAATCTCGAGATTAACACTTTAGTGGCCGTTTACACACATACGTGTGAGCGACCAATAAAAAGAGTTAATATGATGCAGTGCTGGTATCACAAAGTGAGCAACCATTAAAAAAAGTTTATTTATTTGTGAATGGGAAGAAACTGTTATAAGAAGATAATTTTTTCATATCGATGGATATGATACAATATGCAAACAAAATGTATTACAGCGATAGTGTTATGGAGAAAAAGGTACTAAAATAGAGTCTGTTATTCTTGCTATTACCCCAATTCCTTAATTAATGTTGGAATATTGAAGAGCTAAATTTATTTTCTTAGTACCTTTTTATTAAGAAAACATAATAATAATTATAGAGGTTTTAATAGTAATTAAAATGTTGCAACAGGAAAACCAGCAGCTACCTTCTACCTTCCCCATAGGAACTGTTAAAACGTTACAAGCTTGTTGGATTAACAAATAATGTGATACGCAAATGTTGAAACATCAAGATTAAATAGTATCATATTATATTTTATACCAATTATAGGTTTATGTGAATAACTTATTCTAAGCATTAATAAAAGATCTTATAACTTATAGTTAAAAAGATTAAATATAATAAAAAAGAATTATTATTAATAAGTAAAATTAAATATGAAACAATTAACTAACCACAAATCTTCCTCTGGCTGGCAACTGAGTAAGTGTCCCGATCACAACCCTTGTCGATATGCTTGGTGGCTAAAGAGAGCTTGGCCTGAACCGAATGGACAGCGCAAGGCATATCACACAGCTTCAGCTGGGCGGCTGGGAACAAGTCCTCACGACCACTGCTTGGAACGTAGTCAACTCTCTCTGCGATTCCTGCAAAAGGCAAATGACAATGAAAAAGTTGTTCAATAGAATCAAGAAATTTTTAAATACAATTTTAATGATTTACTATGTAAAGAAACAAGGGAAAGGGAAAGGGGGGGGGGACCTTCAGCTACCTATATTATAATAAAACAAATTTTTAGATTGATATAGTAATAAGAAAATAATTATTAGTGCTCAACAAAAACAAGACATTAAAAATTCTGATGGAACATAAAGTTGATCTAATAAATTTCCATACCTGTAAATGGTTTGACTGTAATTCAGAACTAACAAATATTTTAATTTACTAGAAAGAAAAAATAAATTAATAAAATAACAATTAGTAGGGCAATTGAGATTAAAATGGGACTATGACAAGGGGATGGACTATCTCTCATTTTATTCAAAATAATGCAAGATAATATCATGAAGACATTCTGAGAAGCCAACAAGAATGGAGCGAGGCTAGAAAGAGAGAATGACAAGGTAGAAGTTAGATGTTTAGCCTATACAGACGATTTAGCATTGCTGGCAGGATGGTTCTCTATCTCTAAGATATCATTAGAGAAAACAAAAATCATGACCAATAACCCAGAAACTGAAAAGAAAATTAGAACTAAATTCAGGGATATCCAAACTATAAAACTTTAAATACCTAGGAGAACTCGTACAGTACAATGAGAATAATTTACAGTTGATGAAGAACAGAGAAGAAGCTTTCCAAAAAAGCAAAGATAAGAAACAGTAGTTAAACCTGTAATGTGGAATGGAGACAATAGGATTTATGAGTACTGAAAACAGAGAGGAAGGTATCCATGGACCAACAAGGTGGGAGATGAGAGATGGACCAACTGGCCTAGAAAGAATCAAGAATTGTATGAAGATGTCGAAGATTTAGAAACATCAATGAGGAAAAGGCGCTTGAAATTTTTTGGTCATATGAAAAGAATGAGTAAAGATAGGATAAACAAACAGATAATTACAAAAGTAATGGGGAAACAAATCCTGAACAGATAAAGGAAAAAATAAAACTTGGGATAAAAGAGGAGAAAAAAATGGATTTGGGATAAAAAAAAAGGAAACCTAGATAGGGATAAATTCAGAGGAACACTGAATAAGATGAAGGGGTAGATAGGAAGGAAGGAAATGGACACAAGAACAGAAAGAGGAAATGAATTATTGATAGAAGTTAGTCGACTGTTCTACATATCAAGGATGATAAATAGTCAGGAGCAGTCATTGTGAATATTTTTTATTGGTGGCAATAAAATATATTCACAATGACTGCGTCCTGACTATTTATCACCCAAGAAAGAGGAAATGAGTGAATAAATAAAGAAAAATTGAGCTAAAAGAAAAGCCAAGAAATAATGATATACGCTCGGTCCTCAGCTGGCCTATATATATATTAAAAAAAAAAAAAAAAATTAAGTAACAGCACTGTTTATAATATAGACTGAGAAGGCTGACTTTAATTTTATGAATCCACAAAATAGATGATCTTGACCTTTCTTCTCTGGCTCGAATTGATTATTAGCCTGTAGGATAACATATCTTTCTCCTTAGAAACGCCAAGTGTAATTTAATACCATTAAAATAACATTTAAATATGTGATGCTTTTATTTATATCAGATAGTATCACATATATGAGTGCGGGTGTTTAACAGGAGCCATCAGAAGTTTTAATTACAGTGCTGTTATTAATATTTTATGGACTACTCAAATATTCAAACTTTGATATATATCTATAAACAATGAGCAAAACAATAGTAAGTTCAACTATTATTAATTTATTTATTAAGTTAGACATACAAGTTAAAAAATATTAATTACCTTTCCAACCAAGTTTACAAATTCGATTGACTTTAACAGTGACCATAACGGGTTGAGATTGTTTCATTCCACAATCATAGGCAACAACAGATAAAATATGGTTATGACTTCTTTCATAATCCAATGGTTCAGTGTTTCTGATTGTACCTGCAAAATTAAATTAATGTACACATTTATTTAAACATATGAACAGTCTTTTTTTTCTTCACCCTACCTAGCCAAGCCATTTCTGGCACACGGGTTTTTCAGCAAATTGTACAAGGGATCTGTGCATGCCACTATTCACCACGATACAACTCTCTTTATTTTGTTTATATATTTAGGAACAACAAAAACAGGGATTCCGTGGAGTAGCCTGGTAGGCAGCTTTATTTTAATTTTATTTATCTATATATATTTTGTTTTATTTTCTTTTTCTATCTTTTTCTTTACTCCTGTAGGTCCATTGGCCTTTGGAGTGACAGTTCTTCCCCTTCCTCTGCCCAAGTTGAAGAGCGTAGGGCCAACCATTTCCTTATGTACTCCGCGATGTGAAGGTAGTTATCCTTCGCCATCAGTCCTAGGAGATCTTCTCCAAGATTGTACAGCCCAGTTTTCCAGTATAACCAGGCTCAGTGTTGGTCCATTTTTGAATATGTCAGCACGGCGTGTTCCGCTGTGTCAGAAACCATGCATGTGGAGCAAAGAGGGTCAATATTCTTTTCATACTTATCCAATTTATCTCTAAATCCCCTCCCCCCAAATATGAACAATCATCAGTTAATTAATTATACAACCTATGAACAATGAATTTATTGACACAGCTTCCTTAAATTATTAAGTTTCATTTCAAATTTTAATTTACAATGTTTCAACATTAAAAAAGGAATAAAGAAATTTTAAAGCTTAAAATATAATCAAATTATAAAAATATAATTCAAATCAAAGCAAATATAATTCAAAACTTTGAAAACTGAAGTTTTTCTACTGCCCAAGTTATCCTTAAAAGCTGCAATATGATCTTTATGCATTTAACCAAATACAATTTTGTCCAGATTACTTTTTTATTTTTCTATTTGCATCACAGAACTTGGTCACCCTGCCCTCATGCTTCATAGAACTTGTAGATCTTTGGCAGCCTAAAACCAGCTTTCTCCACTAATGCCCATCTTGGGCTGCTGCGTTACAGTTTGCTGTCTAAATTTACTCAAAAATCTTTAAATTATTCTTTCTATAGTGTTGGTTAATGTCTAGTTCACACACCTGTATACCATAACTGGCTTTATCATAGCATTGTAGACTTCTAGAGATTTTTTGGGAATCCAGTATCTTCAAAAAAGAGACAAACCTCTGTTTTTACTTCTACGCTGTTCTACTTTTGATAATTCATCATTTATTAAGGTTATTGTGGACTCAAGGTATATTAATCTGTCTACTCATGAGAACTATTTTCCAACTACACAGAAAATTTGCTCAGATATCATTATAGATTTGATTGATTTTAATTTTATTACTGTTATTAATAATAAATTGAACGTTTAGAGGGCTAATTTACTAAATTGACAATTTTGACCTTAATTATTATTGTTATGGTACCCCTAGCATTTGATGGCGGCACCTAGTTTGAAAACCCCTGCTCTAATTATTAAAATTTCCAGACTTTTGGCATTTTTTAAAATAAAATATCCTGATTTTCAAACAACAGGTCCATCAGAAGTGTTGAAAACAATTAGGAGCTTATAATAATTAAAAATACGTAAAGACAAAGGCTAATCTCAGAAAAATTGAGAATTTGACTAATTAGTAAATAATAAGTTTTTGATAGACATAAAATTTTATATTCGAAATATAATAATTTCTGAAAATTAAACAAGAATAATATGACAGTTGGGCATCAGACTTAAACTAATTAATGTAAGGAAATTTAATGCTTCATTAGATTCAGTTAATATGGTCACATCATCTGCCCAACAATTCCAACCTTCCATTAGCCATACCAAAAATATAGGCATGGTAAAACCTTTATAATAGTAAAGCTGTACTTCCAATTTAACATGGCTTGTTGTCAACATGCTCAGGTCTCATATAATTCAGGTAGGTACTCGTAATTATTAATTGTAAGTTAATAGAGCCTGCATAGTAAATTTAAATATTAATTATAATACTTAAAAAAAAAAAGGAAAAATACTTTCTTATTTTATAGAAAATTATATGGATTAGTTTTTCTTCTTCATATTTTGTATCATTTAAATTTATGAATAAATATTTAAAAACTGTTGACTTCTATTTTTCTTCAATTTAATCATATTTAAAACAAAATTTAACTTACATGGGGGTTATATTGGAATTTGATAAGAAGAAAATAATTTTATTTTATTTTTTATTTAACATTCCATCAGAAGTGTTGAGAACAATTAGGAGCTTATTATAATTAAAAATACGTAAAGACAAAGGTTAATCTCAGAAAAATTGAGAATTTGACTAATTAGTAAATAATAAGTTTTTGATAGACAAAATTTTATAATTCAAAATATAATCATAAAATATAAGAATTTCTGAAAATTAAACAAGATTAATATGGCAGTTGGGCATCAGACTTAAACTAATTAATGTAAGGAAATTTAATGCTTCATTAGATTCAGTTATTATTGTCACATCATCTGCCCAACAATTTGAACAACAGCCAAATGGCAATTGTTTCCAAGGCACAGGACACATGTGGTTACGGAACTAAATTAATGTTTTTCAAAGTAACAATAAAAAATTAATTTAAATTTTTCATTAGTTCTTATTTCAGATAAAATAAAAATCATTGTTTTTTATTTATTTTTTTCAGCCCGTATATAATTTCTTGAACTAAGTATGTACTGAAAGTATTAAGGAAGAAAGCAAGTATTTACTACTATTTATCAGTTCCAAATGTGTTAGCTTTCAAAAAAATAAATTATATCATAATTCATAATGTGAGTTTATCCAAATAAGAAATTATACTACGTATTAAAATGATAATTTTAAAAATGCTGACATGAGATTGGATATTTTATACAGCATTAATAATCATGGTATAACTAGACTGTTATTTTTAATTTATAAGAGAATTAAAAAAAATAATAAAAATAAGGCAATCATATAAAAAAATAATTTTTTTCCAAAAAAGTTATAATGGTTATACTTTAAAAATCGAAATATATATTTTCATAATTTCATAAAAAAGAAAACTGAAGTATTCAACATGAGAGTGAAATTACCTTCGTTATCAATCGTGAAAGGTTGATCAGTGGTCAGAATTTCATACTTGCATATATCTCCAAACTTGGGAGTGCAATCCCTGTCAGTCGCTTCAACCCTAACGATTTCAGAATACAACCTTCCCTCATCTACCTGGCACACATAGGAGGGCTCCAGGAAAACAGGGGCAAACTCGTTGATATCCATAACTGTGATGTGAACAGTAGCACTGAAAATAATAAAAATTAATTTTTTTTGTCAATAATTTATGAGCAGAATAATATGATATATTGATATAGTTTAACAATGTCCTCTGTTAGAATGTGAGCTATTGTACCATAGGAGCTGACTTTCCATTCTGTTTGAGGAGACAATGTTTTCCCCTCTCCCAAAAAAAAAAAATATATATTATGTATTATGTATTTTTATAAATAATAAAAATATATAAAAAAAATTTATATTATGTATAAAAACTATGAGTTATAATAAAATAATAATTTTAAGACAAACAATATAATATTATATACAAAAATAAATTTATATATTAGCTTGTGTTATTTTTTTTTTCGTATGGGTAAATTTGAAAATATATTAACAAAGCAATAGAATTTATTAAATATTTTTATTTAAAGATTTGAGACAGTGAGATGAACTCTCCATTCTTCGATGGTTCAAATTTACCATAGAAAATGTGAATAAATCTTCACATGAAAATAGAAGCATGCACATGAATGAATAATAAAATCCTAGAATATGTTGCTATATATAATTAATTATCTTTCAATATAAACTAAAATTTTAAGGCATAGTAAGATACTTGGGTACTTACTTCCAGGCCTTAGCTTAGTCATCCATTTGACTTTTTCTATTTTCTTAATTGACTTTAGTTTAAATTTATTATTCACTCATGTAGATTAATTGTTATTGATTTTGATTTTATGTTTATTCTTCGCAATAATGGAAGGGGGGATGATATTCTCAACTCCTACATATTTTTATAGGGGGGCGATAGCACTACCTCCCTCTGAAGCAGGAGCATTTTTTTTCTGTTGGCATTACAGAACATGTAGATCTTTTGCAGCCTTAACAAGCCTGCTCTCCACCTCTGCCTGTCTTGGACTATTTCCTTCCATTTATCTGCACGCAGCTCTGTTGCATCTTTGTCGATTCTATCCATCCATCTTCTTTTTGGTCTTCCAGATGGCTGAGAGCTACATGCCCCGCCCATATTAAACTTCGTGCCTTCATATCATGGGATATTGATTGACCAGTTTCTGTAAGCAATTTTTCATTGGTCTTTCTTCTCTATGTGTTAGTACTCTGATCCCAGATCGCTCAATACTTTTTTCTAGGGTGCTGGTTAGTATCCAGGTCTCACAGCCATATATTAGAACTGGCTTTATCATAGCATTGTACACCCTTAATTTGAGATTTATTGACATTTTTCACGACTTCAGAGGGAGAAGAAAGCTCTGTTTGCTAGTTATATGCTGGTCTATTTCTGCCCTTTGGTTATTCATTGAGATTATTGTGGAGCCGAGACATTTGAACTTTTCTACTCTTGGGAAAGATTTTCCTTCTGCACAGATCCTGTTATTGGGGTGGAATTTTCAGCTTATCATCATATATTTTGTTTTATTTTCATTTGCATGTAGGCTGATCTGTTCTGCCTCTCTTATCAGATTATTAGGCGCATATGTATTGTACCATAATTGAATAGTTTATAGTATATTTTCATTGATGCCAAGAAGACTACAGGCTTTTATAGATTCCAAGGGTTATAGATGCTGCTGGTAAATGCTACTAGTATCCAATTCATAAAAAATCTTGATTTATAAATTTGAATGTAACACAAATAAATACAAATGAAGCAATACTTTTTTTACCATTAAAAGTGAATTTTCTTTTTTTACTTAATTGATACATTATGTATTTTTCTGAATCTTCTACGAAATACTAATTATTAAAAAATAAATTTTCGATTTTTTCAAATGAAAAAAAATATTGTTTGTCAATGCTTCTTTGACCCTGTGTATGTGTTCGCTATTCTTTAAATTATTACAGAAACAATCTCTGTAATGAATAAAAGAGGAAAACTAATTGTGATAAAGGATAAAATAAAAATAATTAACAATTATGAAACATATAACTGAACATTTCATATGACAGATTGAAAGAATAATGTCTGGTTTTAAAAAAATAACAGATAAATAGAGGTTTACATAATAGATATAAAGAGGCAACACTTAGCAAAGTAATTCTTATATTATTTGACTATGATAATATCATCCTATCACCCAACTCAGATCCCGAAATAACATCTTTAAATTTGCAAAGACGCCTCTACCTGATTGAGGACTGGTATGGAGGATTAGGCACTCTTCTAATGAATACTAATCAAAAATAAGAAAACATAAATAATACAATTTAAAAACAATATTGGAAAAATTTCTAATTGATTTTGATGATTTTTTTTTTTTCCTTTTGTAGGGAATTTAGTAATATTTAATATAATCATGGGCATAACCAAGGGAAAAGTGTGTAATTCTTTAGTTATTCACAAATAAAGTTAGTAATCTTTAATATAATCATGGGCATAACCAAGGGAAAAGTATGTAATTTTTTAGTTATTTGCAAATAAAGTTTCGTTTCTTAAATAACTTCTTTGCCTGAATTTTCAGGGTGATTGGACTATTTTGTCCATGGGCCCATGGTTGGGTGGATGCGAACCCTATGCCTTGCGTTATCTCGAAAATAGTACGTTTTTGAAGGAAGGAACTATCCGGGTCTTGCTGTATGCATCAAAATCTTCCAAGCCCAATTTGCCCCTAATCGATCTACAGACTCATCAACGTTCTAGTATTAAAGCCTAGCAAAATGTTTGTATTGACTGTATTTATTTTAGAAAGAAAAACAAAAGTGGAGAATACGATTTGCTAACCCCCAATGAAATTCTGAATTTAATGGTACCCCATTCATGGTATTTGAGCATGATAGCAGCTTATTACAAAACTGATTTAGAACCTTACTGTAATAATATATGTGGGGATATAAATAGAAGTGTTTTACTAAGAATGTTTATACTTCAATTACATTAGGGATATACATATAAGTAATTTAAATATTTTCTTAAAACTTATTACAATTTTGAAATCATTTAATCAGCATTTTTAAGAAGAATTTTATAATGGTTCAACAATACATTTATTTCATTTAGGTCAATGTATAAAATGCTTTAATGATTGTTTCCCCCTTTCCACTCCCTAAAAGATTAAATAGATACAATTAGACAAAGATTTATTAATAACAGATTCGGAACAGGACTGATAAATGGCTGATATATACAATAAATCAGATTAATTACTATATTGATACAATTAGAAACCAATAAAGAACACTGTTTAGAATGGATAAAAAAAAAACCTGGTGCAGTGCACACATCACACAACTTTCACTAAACAGAACTAAGTATTTTCAGAGAAAGAAGAAGTGAAAGTAAAAATTATAAATGCTATATTGCTTTATATTTTATTGTGGGTATTTTTATTAGTACAAGTACCTATATACTTATATAAATTATATGTTTTCAATTTCAAAGTAAAAATGAGCATTTGTATCATGGATTTTAAAGTCCAATTCAAGCTATGAAAATGGCACTCCAACTACATGTTACCATAATAAATAATTAAAACGAAATTTATTAAATTTAAATAACAATTTAATTAAACTGACTCAATGCTCTTCACACTAAATATAATCTAATTATTATGTGAATCAGTAAATTATGTAAAAGAGAATCAAATGAAGAATTTGTTAAGCTCATTTTCATTAAAAACATTTTTTTGTTTGTTACAATAACAGAAAGATAAGAATTAAATATCTAGATTTAAAGTTGGTAGATTTATAGAAAAAATTAGATAAGTTAGAAGAAAAATACATGAGCTGAGTAGTCCGTAAACTACCTAGTTCTGCCATAAATTCTGTTACAAAAATTGAACTTTGTTTATACCTTTGGGTATTATTTAGACAATCCTTACGTCTATCAGGTTATTTTCTTTACATGTCAGCATAATAATTCCAATTACTTTGTATATATTAGTTTTTCTTTCGCTCAGTTAACATGGAGTGGGGTGATAAAGAAAACCAAATAGCTGTGATCACCTTACACAAAGTTGGAAAATGTATGTCGGAGATTTTTAACACTTTAAAACATTTGAGCATCAGCTGTATGTTCGTGTACCGCACTATAAATAGATATAATGAGACCCTATCTGTATGTGGCAGATCTCCCACTGTTAGAACGGCAAATGCAGTAAGAGCAGTGGCTGCTCTAATCAGAAGAAACCCCATTCGAAAATAACAAACCATGTCTCGGGAAATGGAAATCTCTGTCAGATCAATGTATCGCATAATAAAAAGTGACCTTAGGATGGGTGCATCCCACGCCATGTTAAATGAGCGAAAGAAAAAGTGATATATACAAAGTAATTGGAATTATTATTCTGTCATGTAAAGTATAGTACAAACAAAGTATAAACAAAGTTCAATTTTTGTAACAGTATTTATGGCAAAACGAGGTAGTTTACGGACTACTCATGTATTTTTCTTCTAACTTATCTAAATTTTTCATCTACCAACTTTAAACCTAAATATTTATAATGAAAATGAAATAAACAAATTCTTATTTTTGAAGAATGACAGGGCAAAGGCTTAACCACTTCCCTACAAAAAAAGTAGAGTGGATAGATGCAAAGTGCTCCTTGGCCGTTACACCAATGGTCTTCATCAAAGATTTTGTTTAGCGATGAGAACATTTTTACAATTGAAGAAAAATTTAATCACCAAAATGATCGTTAGTACGCACACAGCTCTAATGAAGCCCGAAAGTCATTGGAAGAATGAAAAGAGGTCATCACCATTCCTCACTGATGGTTTGGTGGGGAGTTTGCTTTGATGGCAACACAAAGCTCCATTTTTGTGAAAAAGAGGTAAAATGATAATCTATTTGCTGGAAGTCATTGGGTTTTCCAGCAGGATTCTGCTCCAGCTCACAAGGCCAGGTCAACTCCGCAGTGGCTGCAAAAAAACATTATTTCTGCCTCGGCTTGGGCCTCAGGAAGCCCTCATTATTGGCTTTGATCCGCACTGGAGAGAATGGTATGCCACACAGCACATCCTAACTTGGAAAGCCTCAAACAAGCTCTTGTCCGAACAGTTGAGCGCTTTCCTCAAGAAGTGCTGCGTTTTGCTATTGATGACTGGCCACAGAGATCAAATGCCTGTGACAAGGCAAAAGGGAGACATTTTGAGTAATTTCTTTTTTGTTTTACTCTCTATAGATATAGATTTTATTTTCTAATAAATAAAGTTTTTGAAAAAAATAATTTTTCTGTTGAAATCTGTACATATTTCCTTGTAACAATATTTATGACAGGACTAGGTAATACCTCTACTATTAACGATAGATCCCCATCATGGAAGATGTTTTAAGACCAATCAATTGTAATATAAATGTTATTCAGAAAAGATTGCAATGAGATAACAAAATAAAAAATTCTATTAACTTAGTAAATCAACATATGCACAAATATTAGATTATATTTTCAAATAATAGATTTATTAAATTACACAACTGTGATACATTTTATACAAATTATTAATAAGCTATTCGGTAAAACTTGTAGTTGCTACTCGTATGGAACTTTAAAAAAAAAAAGCTTGCATTTTAGTGGTTTCTGTAAAATCTTTTAGGAAACATATTTTTAAGAAAAATTTCTAAAAAGCTTTTATGTAATAAAGTTCTAAATTTAAGGTAAAAGTTAAATTTTTAAAATTCATTTCAGTTCTTAAAAACGTTTTGTTAAATGAGAAACAAACAGTATTTGGCCTTAGATTGGAGTTATAATTAGTCTTGAATGAATTACTTGATTGATGTTTGGTTGAATAGCTAAGAATAAAAGCTATTTTTTAAATTGATATTTTTTCTTTTGGCAAAAGCAACAGAACATTAAAATTAAAGTTTTGCGAAACCTATACTTGAAATTGAAGAGAATAAGTTAAACCATTATTAAGATCTATATTAAGAATTTATTCAACTGAACAAACAAGATTTCAATGCACAACAGGGTTAATGAACTTCACAAGTAGTTTCAAATCGTATAAACAAGACGAGATTAAATGCTAACAAAAATTATTTGAAACAGATGAGTGGCATAGCAGAAAATAGAAAACTAATCCTCACTTTATGCCATCTAAATTGATTAAATGGAAAAGTTCAAAATGGCTAACAGTTAACAGTGATAAATTTTAATGAATTAAGTTTATAAAAAAAGAAAAAATAAGATACATCATTTAAAGTAAGACAAACACAATTTTTTTTTCATAACCTTTCTTTTATAATAGATTGTCTCTTATGTATACTTTTAAATATATTTTATATACATTTATGTTCCTTGTACTGTATCTTAGATACATCTTAAGGTCTTACTGAGCATTCCTTTGTTCCGTTTAATCTTTATTATTGACTTTTAATCGGAGTGTTGGGCTCACATTTATCATGATAATTTATAAAAATTAAATAAGGAGCATTATTTTATAATGATTTGTCTCATAAAAGAACACCAGGTATAGGAGAAAATATATATTTTTTAATAGTAGAAGAAAAAGTATAAAAAACTGATATTGAATCATTAAATTAATATGAATGAAATCATGAGAGAAAAGTGGAAGTAACAAGCCAGCATGAAATAAAGAATAGTATTAATACTGATAAAAACAATTTATGTACATTATTAGAAAATAGAAAAAAAATCAATTGTTAAAATTATTTACTTAAAAGAGTTAATAATTTGTTAAGTATTTTAACATCCTAGCCAAACCAGTTTAACAATTAAAATAAACAATTCGGTTATGATAAATCAGGAGGAAATATTACTTCATTTTTAAATAAGAATTAGATGTATCAACATTTGTTAAAATATCTTAATATTATGAAACATTTAATTAGCTTAAGTGTCAGAAAATCAAATCCCAAGTTATTTATCTATTTACAATATCCTAAACCCAGCTAAATTAAAAAATAAATTTTTAAAAAAGGGAAAGAATATTTGAAATGTTTATATTTATCTAGACAATTAATTATAATATGATCACAATATTGTAAGCTAGTCTTAGTTGAACTAGAGATTTGAATAAAAATCGTAATCTAAACATTAATAAATTGACAATATTAATTTGTTTTCAGAAATAAAAAATGGCCAAATTATATTTTATACGTAGACTTAAGACTTTGATAATGAATACTACTGATGATAATAAATTAATTAGATCCAATGAAACCTATTTCACAACTGGAATGTTCAAATGCAGAAGTTGACATTCTAAAATACAGATCTTTTGTAGAGCCAGTTTTCAAAATGACAAAGAACCTGTCCCAACACCCCCCTACCACTTCAGTTGAGGAATTATGTCCTACTTTCCATATTGTAGTGGTCTAACCAGGATGGCCCATAAGGTGATACAAGAACCTACGTGTCATAAGCACTGCTAATAACGGAAATTGTAATTTTTGAATAACAGATAGCATTAATCAATACTGGAAAAATTAATGAAGATCACTAAAACATATTTAATGCATATAAAACATGGTAGTACTATTATATAGCACAACAGGAAATGATTGATATTTTACAATTAAAACTGGAATAATACTCCAAAGTAAATTGATATAGCAGCACTATATGAAAAATACATTCAATTTATATTGAGAGGAAATACTAGTAAATATTCATACTTATTAACAATACATAGAAAGATAAAAAAACAAAACAAATAATAAGGTTCTTTAATACATAGAAGTATCATTACAACACTTTTTGGTGAGATGTTTAGGGAACACAAATTATTACAGTTAACAGCTGGAAAAGCTTAACACAATAAAACTTCAGGTAATAAGAAATTGAGTTTTGAACAATTACAACTGAATTTTAAGGTTTAAAAATTTGTTAATGAAAATAGTAGGGCAAACGGCAACATAAGCTCAATTAGTAATTTCCTGATTAACAGGGAATAGCTCTTTCAAGGACTTTTACTGAATTACATAGATTGGAAAACAGTTAATTAAATGGTTATAACTAATTACATTAGTCATTTGGATTTAATAAACCCAGGAATTTTCCAAGAGGGTGTGTCATGAACTTAAAATACTCAGGAGTCTTAAAAGGGGCACATTATAAAGAAACTAAAAGTTTTACTCTATTTATCCCAGTCAGAGGAAATATGGACTTAGAAAATAAATGAAATTAAATAGTAATAAAAACTGTGGTTTCCCTAAGGAGGCGGCTAAGTTCAAGTAACAAGAGATATTTAAAGAATTATTATAGAGCTTGATAAATATTCAATAAATAACAAAATAATTAAAATGAAAAAAATTATCACCAAAATCCAAATAAACATTAACTAAATATAGATGGTAAGTAATCCTTAAATAAACTACCATAGGCAAACTTACTTTTCAGATTGAAGACCAGAACAAGAAACAGCAGCAATATCAAATTTATAATTTTTTCTTTTTTCACAGTTTAACACTCTCCGAGCTTTCAATTCTGCTTCACCGTTCTCTTTCAAAATAATCTAGAAATAATGAAATCAAATTTAGTAAATAAGAGAATATTTCAAATATTTATAATTATCAATACTGGAATAAACACTACCTGAAAAGGTGCTTCACCATGATGTTTATTTACGATGTGAAAACCGCAAATTTTTGCACCAACACCTCTAATTGTTGGGGTAACTTCAACAACAGTTTCATTTTCTTTGACGAGTCCATGATATCCAGCCTCTAGATTTTGCAATGAAAGTCTGGGAACTAAATAATATTACAGATCCATTAGAAACTGACAGGTGATCAATAACAAGAAAAATAAAAAACGTTAAATAAAACATAAAGTAAATAAAGTTAGGTATATTAAATATATATATTTAAAAAGAATCAATTTCAATGATATGAACTATAAATACAAAAATTTAGTGACAGTCAACTAAGAATGAACAACTGTTGATTAAGGGAATTAATGATACTAGTTATCACTCAATTAATGTAATTATTAATATATAATCACATAAAAATTAAAAAAAAAAGGCAAGGTAATAGGAGACCAGGTAGTTGGTATACCAAAATGGAAACTGTGTCACAGAGCCTTTGTGCTCTGCCTTCAACTTTTCACCGGGACCGACATTACTTAGCTACATAAATAAACAAAATAGATAAACCTTCGAATAAATAACTATTTTACCTCCATCTAAGAAAGGTTCGGGGCTAGAACTGGAAGTAAATGCTTCTCCAAAAATAATCAGATAAGCGGCAAATAAGTATAGCCCTTGGTAAATCATTGCGCCTTAATCCATAAACTAGTTAAAACAGAACGATGCACACTTGGCACAAACGAAACTACACTAAAACATAATTGAAATTTCGTTACAGAACGTATGAAAATGTCACATATAAGTAACAAAATGTATAGATTCCGTGAGTCACTAGCCACCAGCACTGCGTCTATCGATTAGCTAACTTGTACTGTAGAGTGCGCTGTATGAATTATTCCTGTCTGACAAAAAACAAGAAATGATAATGTGAAAATTATGGGTTCGGTATTTAAACTATCCTAGATCAAAAATGCAGTTGAATTGCATCCATATTTTTAAAATTAAAATAAATGTAAGTTACTCACAAATGGAATATATAACTTATTATCTCACTTTTAACTTGGGAAGAATACCTATTTTAGGAAATTGAAGAACGAAAATATTAGTTTTATTAAGAATTATTCAAATTTTATTTATGAGATTTTATTAGTTTTTGCAAAAAAAAACAAACAAACGATAAGGAGAATGCTATCTGGTGGCTTCTTATCAACCTACTAATTCAAAACTTTCTCTTTGAAGCAGCTTTGTATTTCAACAAATAAGTATGTAATTTCCTTTAATGTAACTTATACAATTTTATTATATTCGTTAATTTTTCAATTCTTATTTTAAATCTCGAGTAAAATAAGTGCAAAAAAACTTTACTAGCGTTGTTCTGACCCCTCCCACCGTGCACCTGCCATGGCAGGTGCAAAAACTGATCTTCAGGTGGTTTTGTTTGCACACAGGAAATGGTTTAAAAAGAACTTTAAAAATTTATCCTCACTTGACCTCATCTCATAATAATATTGGATTTGAGCTATTTATTCCAATATTATAATACAGAAAAATATATTACATAAGTATTCATAGTTTTTTTACTTACATTATCGATTTAAAAGTTCTATTGCTAAAGTCGAAATGAATGTACAAAAAATAAAAATATAGCTTAAGTTAAACCTCGAGGGATAACACCGAAAGTAGCTTTATTCGGTTTCTTAAAGAAATTTTGATGGAGCTAAATTTTTAAATATGCTATTGAAAATGTCGGCGTTATTTATCGATGCAGAAACACAATGTGTATATGAAAAGGAGACACCATTTTATTTATTAAAACTAAGTGAACACTGTGTTTATTTACAGAACACAGAGAGAAAATTCATCTTTACTACATTTTGCGATAAACTGACGATATGTTTCTTCATAATAGTGGAAGATTGGTATGTTATCAGTTTTTTTCAGAACATTCATCGTTTGGCTGGCTTGAAACCTGAACAGCACCTGCGAAGTTTTTTTGTGGCATTTACTGCTGTACATGACCAGCACTCGAAGGAATTTCTATTGTAGTCTTCGAAGAGGATGTTACCTGCTGGTGCCCTACCGACTTCAAAGAATTCTGTGGAGGCTGCTATGTCAATACATGTTTAGTTATCACTAAGTTTTATTAGTGGCAATGAGCAAAGGTTATTCACTAAAGCATTTATCCATTAGAAATTTGACAGTTACAATCATAGGGATCTTCACGATGTAGACAATTTTTCTTAGGTATCTTTAAAAAACCTATACCACTATACCCTGGGTTTTGGTTTCAGTACTTTGTAAGGAAGTGTATACTGTTTCTAGACTAAAAATTGAGCAAGAGTGATGGCGAAAGGCCACAGGGTCGAACCACGACAGCTATAATAATATAAACAGTTATCTGCAAAAGCTGGAATTAAATCCTGATATGGGAGAATAGGACATGTGATTGTTTAAATATAGCTTAGATCACAAATAGCTTAGCTCACTTACAATAACAAATATGGACCAATGTGAAAAAAATCCCGTAAATCCTCTTGTGGTTTAATTATATTGTCTATTTTTGTTTGTGTGAATAATTGCGGAATACTTATATTATTTTCAAAACTATTAACTGAGAGAGGAGATGATTAGATTTCATGTGTGACAAAAACATTTACGGAACATTATCCAGTAACTCGATAAAAGTCATTACACTTTAATAGTTCAGGAATTGATTCCATAAATGCAAAAACCGTCTATACGAAACCTTATCAGCAATCTATGCTATAATGAAGACGATTAGCCTTATCACAAAGGTTGTTAAGTACAAGATTGTATGTGCTGAATATATAATAAAAATATGTCTGTTAGTGAATAAATAAACAGTATTATAATGGTAAATTAATAATGACTGACGTTATTATTAATTAATTAAATTTATTTTATAATTTATAAAATAAAATATAATTTCGCAATTACATAAATAACTTTCCCGTTTTAGCTATAGACGGTTAATGTTGTTAGACAAATCCAGTAATGACTACCTATGGGCCAATTTAGTTATTTATGAATCTCCATATCACAAGTATAGAATGAATTTTATACATGGAAACTTCGGATAAGTGTCCAGAGAATTTGTAGTCGTGGCGTTGTCGAAACCAAAATAGAGCCTGCATACATCCCCGTATTGTTGGCCTAGTACGGAATAGCGCCGTACAGGAATTATTTTAATTCATTCTCAATTTAATTTTTATGGTTTTAAAACTTCGTGAGACGGAATCTTAGTATTTAACGGATCTACTTGGGGGAGGGAGGAAGGTACTTTCGGTCCACTTGCGGATCCAAAATTTAATTTGGGGGAAAGGGGGAAGGCTTCAGCCGATATATATATATATATATATATATATATATATATATATATATATATATATATATATATATGTATGTATGGATGTGTACATATAAAAGCTTTTGAGCTGAGTCCATTTCCCTAAAATTAGATCTTGGATCTACTGTACCTGTTGTGTTTAAGAAAGTAGAAATCAGTATCTATTAACCAAACTTTAAATCTTTTGATCATAATATAGGTCCTGTAAATTTTTTTTTTTAATTTGTAATTTAGTTTATGATTCCTTAAATAGATTTTTAATTTTATTTATTTTAAACTGTGAAAATTTAATATTTTCCATTCTACTCAAACATTTATGGTGATGTCATAATTTTTAAGTCATTCGACTTAATTCGATATATATCACAGATACTACATTCTATATATTCAGATTCCTAATTTCATCTATACATGATGATACACTCTAACATGCATTGAGTGAGAATATTGCTTGAGTTAGTTAGAAACAATGTTATATATATTCATCTAATTACATTCATTTAATGATTGGAACTTTTGGTTGTGTATTTTAGGACACACTAATCGTGATTTCTATGATCGTCTATCACGAGAAAGAATTCACATGTTGATCCTAGACGGTCTGACATCAGCAGTAGCCTTAGTCCATGGATATTGACCGATTTGTCCATGTCCTTGAACCTGAAGGTTTGAATGTAATTTGGTGGAGTAATCGCTATCGCTTCGGTTCCAAGGGGATCGAAGAACGGCTAGTCTGCCGCTGCATCTTAGAAAAGGTTTTTGATTACTTGAGTTTGGATGGGGACGGGCTGATTGACGCGTGTGCAAAACAATTGTCCTGCAATCTGATAAATTGAAGATCGCGGAGTTTGAGGCCCGGTGCTGGGGGGCTTTTAATTCTTACATTAATCCCCGCCCTCTCACCTGGTCCGAAAAAAAAAAAACTGTATTGTCGAAAAGGCGAGGTAAGGTAGAACAAAAAAATTGAGTCTGGATCTCTCTGTTTGGGGTCAGTGATAAAAATGTCAGAAAAAATTACTATAGCATGCTGTACGTGGTCAAAGATCACTATGTTATTATAATAATCTTAATTTATTTATTCAATTTTAAATATTTCATCCAATCCTATCTTTTTGTCTATGTTTATACGATTATGTTACTTGTCATGTGTGCGTTCTAATTTTGAAACTTTAGCATTCGAATATCTTTTTCTTTTTTTTTTTCTGTAAATTTCAGAGTTTGTGTTATATCGATTCATTGCAATATATATATATATATATATATATATATATATATATATATATATATATATATATATATGTGTGCGAAATGTGTGTATATATACACTGTATAATAGTGATTTTGTGAGTGTAGTATAGTATTAATACTGTATGATAAGAGATATGGAAAAGGAGGAAAAAGAAGATGTATATGTATATGATGATATAAATATGTAAATGATAGATGTATATAAAAGACACGAACAGGTCCGTACCTATTCCCGTGTGGGATTCTTACCCACTAAAACCAACATCCCTTCACCTGTTCATTTCCCTCGACGGAACCACCGTAAGGCATTACTTCATGGAGGGGAATGGTAATATGCCGTCTAATTTTTTTATCGTCGTGAGACATTTATCTTCTGCCTAAAGGCCTGTCCTCAACGAATCTTGTGCCTACCTATTGTGACAATGATAGTCTCAATTTTCTTCCTACTAGCGAAAAGGACCGCCTCAGTCTTGTGATTGTCAAGTTGCAGGCCCACAGAAGACATCCAACCTCGGATAGAAGCAACAGCTTGATTGGCAATCAGGGTAACTTCTTCAACATACTTCGCCACTACCACCACTGCAACATCACCTGCGAAGCCTACAACTGTAACTCCTTCCGGCAATGGTAACCTGAAAATCCCGTCATACATAACGTTCCATAGGAGTGATCGTAAGACGTAACCCTGCGGAATACCACCAGTAACATTATATCTCCTTGGTCCAATATGCAAGTCTGAGTCATAAAACAGAACTCTATTTCTAAAGTAGTCAGTGGTCACCTTCATGAGATAACCAGGTCCCGCCACAGTTCGTAAGGAATCCAATATGCAAGGCCATTTGGCCATGTTAAATACATTTTTGATATCTAGAGTGATGATTGCCGCAAAACACTTCGCTGCACTTCTTCATCTTACTTTGCTTTGCGGACAATGTCAATCACGAGTCCAATAGCTCTTTTCGAAATCCATATTGAGCCTTTGACAGACCATTTGCACTCTCAGTAAATTCCTGTAGCCTGAGACAAAAGATTTTCTCAAAAACCTTTCCTATAGTGTCCAGCAGACAAATGAATCGATAAGTCGACGGGACCTATGGCTTTCCTTTACTCATCTGTATCAGTACAAGACGTTGTCTCTTCCAAGGTACCGGAAATGAACCTTTGTGGAGGTAATTAAAAAGTTCCTTAAAAATGTCTGGCCACTTTTTGAGGGCCACCATGAGAACGACATTTGCAATGCCGTCCAATCCAGGTGCCTTACCATATTGTAGGTCTGAAGTCTTCTTCATCCTTCTTCATTGATGAGTGGGAAAACAGTATAGGAATAGTCCATACACAAATAGTTGGCAACTGCTCCGGGAATAGGGTTCTGACGATGTCCAAAACCGGTCGCGTGGGAACATGCAACAAACCTTTGCTTAATTTCTTGAGTGCTGTATTGTAGGGCCTGCCCCAGGGATCTGCATCAACCTCGTCACAGAGCTCTCTTCAGCAACGTCCTTTATTTTCTTTAATGGCTCTTTGGAGTTTTCTTCTCGCATTTCTGAACTCGTCCTGAATAACGCTAAACTCTGGTCGATGCCTTGCTCTCTGGTAGTGTCTTCTTGTCATCTAGTGTGTGTGTGTAATTCAATTATAATTAAGTGCTATGTCTGCATATCGAGCAACCCTATATAGTAGAGCAGCACTGCTTTAAATAAAGTATTTCTCTCTTACCAGTATTATCTGTTGACTTATAAGACCTTCTGATTCGAGTTGATGCGAGTCATAATTATGATTAGTATTACCGAAGTATAATTAGTAAAAGACTTTTATCAGGA